TGCCTCGAGACGATGGACGGAGATGACACGGGAGATACTGGACCTGCAAGCTGTCCAGAAATGGAATTGAATCCGCCGATGATGATCAGGCAAATTCCGATGGATGCCTGTGGTGGGTCCAGCACCCGCCGGAGCGATCCGCTGAATTTGGAGAAGTTGACTAGGGTGACTGGATGAGGGTAACCCCGAAATACCGGGGAAGGCAGGGTTTCGCAGGGTAGCTGCCACGGGTGAAGATATGCCCCCCTGTCCCAAACATAATAATAATACATACATACATACCTAACCGGCTCACCGTCAATTGTCAGCCATAAAGATCCACCAACTCCCAGAATCAATTCCATGAAAAAGATCAAATGCTACAATTGCCGTACAACTCCGAATCAAAGTTAACAACCGTCCTAATGCCCGGGAGCCGAGTGGCGGCAGAAAGGTTCGACTCGTTCGAAGTTGCCCCCGATCCTGTTTCCGACTATTATGCATCCATCCAGGAGTAGACAGGGTTGACGTCGCCAGCGGCCGCCATTGATCCATCTGCCGGCAGCTTTTACTTCGCAAATACGGACTGCGGCGTTGGTGGTGTTGGTGTTGGTGGTGGTGTTGGTGGTGGTGGCTAATGGGTCTGCCGGGTCTGATGATGCGTTTCCCGTCCTAGAGATATATAATGTATATTGGTCTGCCTGCCAGTGTGTAGCAGCCGGTACACAGTACGGCGCTATAAATACGCGCGTAGCGCGACCACCAGCATCTCGAGAGGCCTTTTCAGCAGCGGCCAGCTGCTACACAGTGGGTCCCAGATCTCCGCTAGGTAGCTGTGCACGCACCGCACACACCGCCGCGACTAAGGACATCAGCGATAACAACAATGATGATAACAATCCTGCTTTGATATCCTGGTTTATCCCGCCGCAGCCGCAGCCGCAGCCACCTTGTTTCCATCTGCCACGCAAGACGGCCGTTTGCACCGTCCTTTGAATCTACAGCATATGCAAGTACTACTTGCAACAGACAGGTAACCACATGCACAGTATACCGAATATGCATCCAGGCTCCCGTCCACGTACCCATCCAGCCCTGCGGGTGCGTGCCCCCCGCCCCCCCCTGTGGCCCAGTAATGGTGCCACAGCGGGCCACCTGCTTGCCTTGCTCACCTGCACAACTAGGTAGGTGTCTACGCACAAACAGACATACTTGCAGCTGCATGTGGCACCAGTATTGCACCAGTATTTTGGTTAGTAGTGATAGCCCCATTAATCACCCAGCAGCGGTATTAAGCAAACGCCGGCAGTCGATCATTCAAGTCAACCGAATCCGCCCTTCCCCTGCTGCTACCTGCTGCCGTTTGTAATTGTATCTGCGAACGCTGGCACATGAGTCGATTCATTCTCTCGCCCTCTATCAAAAAATCGAGCTGCCGGCCGGGGGGGCCCCGCACACACAGCCACACACACGCAACCATCACCCGCAGATACCAGTCTTCCTATACGAGTTCTTTTTGCTTATCTTCGCAGGTGGCGAACATGAATGCGTTTCATATATGCAGGATTACTTTTTTTCCCATTAATACCACTTAGCTAGAAGGAGGGAGGACGTGGGGGAGGGAGGACCCCGGCAGCACTGGCAAGCAAGTCGGCTCCTCTTCATCACCAAGACATTGTATGTCTGGCCATGGCCTTGCATACCTGCTTACCCACCTACCTACTTTGCCAGGTATAAATATGCGCGTGAGTTGATCCATGATAGAGTTAATCGGCGGATCCACATCCACATCCACATCCACAGCCATTATAACATCCATATCCGCATCCAGTAATAATTTAAACTCACCATCATGGTCTGGAGACGCTGTTGCAAATTTGCGCTATTGCAATTTGCGGTTTAAGGTTCCGGGTTCAGGAAGACTCACGACATTGTCGTGAACGTGAGGTAATGGCCGGCTGGTGAGATGTGGGTGTAAGTAGGTCATCGTTGATAGACCAAGCTTCGCCCGCTGGATTGGTGGCGACAGCTGAACTACTGCCTCTACGGATGTTCGGATAAAAGGAGACAGACAGAAGCAACCGCCTTGGACTTCCAGTTCATATGGCGTAGTACAGTGTGGTAATAGTGGATGGTGCTGTATGGTGTGATAAATCGTAGATGTGACGATTCCAATGTGTGCAAATGGCCCGGAAGCCTCACACTCTGTAACAACAGCAATAACATCATCATCAGGCCTCCATAAGGCGCTGCAGTGCCGCCACCACTGCTGCCGAGGTCGGCCGATCGTGAGGGTTGGCGGCCCAGCAGCTGCGTGCGAGTGCGCGGTAGGCCGGCGGCACGTGGGGCGGCCAGCGGGGTCGGAGGCCCTCGTACACCACTAGGCGCGGAAGGTCCTGCGCGCAAAGGAGAAAGATAAGGCAGGTATACGTGCATATATTCATGCGTGTGTGTTTACACCTTAAGTCGCGATCTTCTCCGATAATTTTTTAAGCAGGGCGGATGAGACAGCACATGGTGAAGCACACGGAACTTATTAAAATAAAGGATGCTGCGGAGGGCGGCGATGAAGGAGGGGATCGGTCGATAGGTGATTTATAAATTATAAATAGCACAGATGGGCAGAAAGAACAGTTGTTTCACATATATACAGTAAGGTCTTTCGCCTACAGCCAACTAGCAGCAGTAGTAACAGTACTGTTATGACAGTATTGTTACTGCCACTAGTAGCAGTAGCAGCAGCAGTAGCAGCGGCAGCAACAGCGGCAGCATGGTATACTAGGGTAGCTGCGTGGTGGTGTGCCGCACCTTGAAGTTCCGCGCCGCGTACTCCAGATATGGCGGTTTACTTGTGAACACCTCCCACCTGCATGGGTGCGCGGATGGACGCGTGCACATACATACAAAAGCGCGTCTGGAAACGAGCGAAAGGATACTGACCGATGTGTGTATATCGAGGTATGTATATGTATGGATTGCACGGTAGTCGCGACGCTGTCAACCAAAGGGTCTGTCTGTCTGTCTGTCTGCGTCAGTCGCGTGTATGTGAACGGACCGAGAGCAAGGGTGCTTTGAAAGGCAGCAGCACATAATAGAGCAGAGGCGGTACGATGACAAGCGACACCGGTTGCGTGACCGAGTTTAAATAATGCCGTACGCTTGTATGCACATACACACATTGCCAGCCCAGGGAGGGAGAGGTGGAGGAGGTCAGTAGTGTTAATGTGAAAAACTGAGAGGCGTCTTGTAGTTCGAGCCCTCTGCATCTTTCTATTTTTAGAGGCTTTTGTTTGGTTCGTTTGCTGCAGCAGGAGATCTGCCCTTTCGGGGACGCCCTCCAGCCGTTCCCGCCTGGGTTCCCGTCTGAGTGTCTGGGAGGGCTTCTGGGCTTTCAGACAGCCTGAGTCTTGTGGGGTCTTGTCGCCCAGGCGGGACCTGAGAACCCGCCGTGTTTCCACTGCAGTGCCGTACCCGGATGGAGGGGCTGCGGAGCGGCTACGTTTTGTGTGACAGTCTGAGTCGGGGTGGTTAGGGAGCACACAAGGCTAGCCGCAACTGGTGCTGTGTGCTCCCGACCCTTGCGCTGTGTTTCGGCTTCGGGAACCCCCCCCGGCTCTCACGGCCCAGAGTGTAATCTAAGTCATAGATCCATCCATCCATACGAGCATACACACATACGAACATATGTACGAGCATACAGACGAACGTACATACGTACGAACGTAGATAGAACAAACAATATCTTACGAATAGACATATGAGCATTGTGCCGGCCGTATAGCTAAGTGGATATAGCGTGCTCTTCCTAAGGGCAAGGTCCAAGGTTCGACCCCTTGTTCGGTCGATTTTGGTGATAACTGACTGGTTTTGGCCATACTGATATGGCGATGGCGAGACCGACGCCTTGAGATTCCTGGATCTATATTTGTCATAGTCGAACCCCCCATCGATGGTATACGATTACTTTGAGTCCGGTCGATGGACGGTGGTGGCCTGGGAAAATGTAATCTTGCGAGTTGACCAGGAAAGGAGTTAAGACGCCATCGACATCCGGCTGGTTTCGATGGATGCCGGTGACGAGTGCGGAACCTGAGCGATCCACTAAATAGTTGACTAGGGTGACTGGATGAGGGTGCCCCGAAATACCGGGGAAGGCAGGGTTTCGCAGGGTAGAGGCCACGGGTGAAGATATGCCCCCCTGTTCCACACATCAGACATTACATGTTACTGAGAAGGAACTCTTAACGTGTTTGTAACCGTGCATGTTCGTTTGGATGCGCGCGCGGGTGGTTGCGCGCACCCTCACTTACATAACGATTCCGAAAGCGTAAATATCCACACTGAAGTCCAGTCGGGTTCCTGCGTCATTGTGGTACGACACCTCCGTACATTAGTGTTTCTATTATGTAGGTGCGTATGCCTGTGCCTGACACATACACATATGTAACTACATACGAAATGCACAAAGTATGTAGTTCGTTTTTGATTGTCTGAACATTATTATATGGATAACGGCATACGGAATTCCCCGGCGGACTCCAGACATACATACAGGTACAGGTACAGGTACATACATCCTGAAAAGCACGCACACAGAAATGCGGGTGCTTTATCTATCTGTCCGACGCGTCCTTAGATGCGCCCCAGCAGGCCTCCGAAAGACCCAAGCATGTGCACGTGGAAGTCGTGATGTTGCCGTACGTGCTACATCAACATATCATCCTATGCCTAAACCCAAACAAGGCACTCAGCAGCAGACAGTTAGGGTAGGTTAGGTAGGCCAGCGGGGGACATGGGGGGCCATACACTGACGTGGCAGCTGTGCCGCCGGAAGGGCCTCCCGCGGTGCTGCTGGCAGACCGCTTTTATCGCATTATCTTGTGAAATATGGCATGCTGGTGTGTTTGCCGTACTGTATGCAACCCCTCACAGTCTCGCAGCAGCAACCCTAGTATTGCCGTACATACCCAGCATTACTGCAGGAGAGATGCATCATCGCCACACGCCGATGGCGGTCAAGACTCACCGGGACAAATGTACTCGGGCGCAAGGTGTGTGATCTGCATGGGATGGCACGCAGGAAATAATGTTTGAGCGCATTTCTGAGCCTCGTAGATGATGTATGTATGTATGTATGTCTCAATTACAGGGTGGTTAACTTCGCCAGCGGCCCCTTTTCCCGGGCCAGTCCCTGCTCTCCCCTGCTAGAGGCGCACCCTAATCCGTCACCCCATCCGACTCCAGAATGTATTCGTTGGGTTCGGCAACTCACCACCAGCATCCAACCAAATCTAGCGGATCAACGGCGCATCAACTTAGTTCCTGGTTAGCTCGCAAGTTGATTATGTATGTATGTATGTATGTAGGACACCAGGACGCTCATGTTCGTGCGACACGCACGGCAAGATGCGGAGTGTAAGATGCTTAGGAAAAGCTGCCTTCCCTGGACAGACATCGCGTGATCACGGATGGGGTGGAAGAGGGGGCAGAAACGGCAAAAGCCGCAACAGCCGCAGCTGCAGCTGCAGATTTCGGTGCCCAAGTGCATCCGATGGGATGTCTGTGGTGTCTGCCTGGGCATACAAGGATCATACACTTGTAGTTGTTACCACACACACACACAGATGTGCGTATGTATGTATGTGTCTCGGAGAAGTTCGGAGGATGGGGATTTTTCATCTTCATCGCCATGGCCACATTCATACTGCCAAGCGGTTTGTAGTATCCTGGGTATCACGGGATCTGGCGTCCGCTGATTGCTCCTCTTCTGCAAAAGACGCGATACAACACGGTTCCCCGCTGTAGTGTCCTGGAGGGTTTTCATATCACCCGGGATCTGCACCCACCGTTCGGTTCTTTTTTCTTTTTTTCCTGAAAGGTCGTGTTATATATAACACTCGGTCACCCAGCTAGCTTTACCTGCCACTCGTACTGCACTCCTACATCCCTGCCCCGCATGCCCCGCCTGTCCCCGCTGTCCTTCCGCGCCCGCCAGTCAAACCAATTGACATTCCCTGCGGGCCATACACACATACACACACATACATACATACATACACATGTACGAACGCACCGTCCCAACGGCGCCCTCCTGCGTCGAGCTCGCATGTGCCACCACACCATCCGGGCCGGTGTCCTTCCGTACAATGCTGACCAGGCCAAAGTCCTGCGCACGTGCATACGTACGTACATATATAACTACATGCATGCATTTACACGTACGCCTAAAATGACGGATTAGAGATGATGCATGTGCAACAGCAGACAATAGTAGCTCGTGTAGATGTATAAAAATGACACGTGGATATGGACCGGTAGACCAGTAGTAGGCAAGTAGGTAGGAAGCTAATATGTGTGTATGTGTGTGTATGTGTGTGTATGTGTGTGTATGTGTGTGTATGTGTGTGTATGTGTGTGTATGTGTGTGTATGTGTGTGTATGTGTGTGTATGCGTGTGTATGTGTGTGTATGTGTGTGTATGTGTGTATGTGTGTGTATGCGTGTGTATGTGTGTGTATGTGTGTGTATGTGTGTGTATGCGTGTGTATGTGTGTGTATGTGTGTGTATGTGTGTGTATGTGTGTGTATGTGTGTGTATGTGTGTGTGTAATGATGGGGAGGCGATACCATACCACAAAAGAGAGGTTGGACCAACAACCCAAAGTCGACCACTCGTCCTACATTCGTCGTCACAGCGGCCTGTTCATCTTACCGCAGGGGCTCAAATCATAAGACCGTACACCAACCCGTACAACCACCCGTACAACTACCCGTACATGTATCTTACCCCCAGCTTGCACGTGAAGCCCCGGGGGTCGCTGTTAGACGATTTGAGAAGCACATTCGCGGCCTTGACCTGCCAGGCAGCAGATGGAAAAGTGCAGCGCAGCATTTAGATGCATCTACGTCGATTATTACGCATGCGCGTATTAGTAAATGTGCGTACAGAATTAACCTTAATTTTCTGCGTAGGTTGATGCGCGTGTATACGCTTCGTCACATCCACAAGATGATGTGCAACAACATAACGCATCAGCCGGTGTCCAGAACCAGGAATACCATCGATACACATGCATACATTACCGTCAGCTATGTATGAATATGCATGTAATATACTACCATTATTATCATAGCTAGCCAAACTCCTGCTGCCATATTTGTCGCTTTGCAGACCAGGAAAGGCTCTATCTATCTCCGCCGGCCGGGGCGATGTCCATGTCCTTGCAGGTTGGGGAACACCGTAGGGGAGTTCCTCCCCGAGTTCTTGGGTCGGCGAGACTAACCTAACCCCCCTTCATTGGGTTAGCGCCCAGAAGGGCACCAGAAGAGTAACTTGTAACTTGTAACTTGGTAACCACGGTACTCACGTCGCAATGCGCCAGATTCCGGGCGTGCAGGTGCCGGAGAGCCAGCGCCACTTCCAGCAGTGTGAGGTAGATGGCGCGCATGGCAACACCGCCGCCGCCGCTCTGCGCTGTCATGCTGCCCGCGCGCTGCTGCCGGTCACCGACCCCACCACCACCACCACCACCACCACCACTTCTTCCGGGAGCTGTGGTGGAGGCGGCAGCAGATTGGAGAACACGACCGCGTTCGGAAATACTGCTGGCGCTGCGGACGGTGACGTTGACTCCATCAAATTGTGCGGCGGTTGCTGCTCGGATGATGGCGTCCTTGAAGCGCCCGGAGTCCTGTGTTGCACATATCATACCGTATCCATATGCGATCGTAATATGTAGTTAGTAATGAGGACTCAGAAGCAGAAACAATGCGCATTATTAGCGATGCATTATGAGGTGGATGAGCTCATCGCCAAGACTGCTTACCGTACGGGTCTGTACGTATGTCTGTATGTAAAAACATGTAATCATATTCATTTCCAATGTAATCATTTTTATGTTGTAAAGACGCATGATGCAAACATAAAGAATGTATGTTTGTATGTGTACGTAAGTGAACGTTACGTGCTCACCAACGCATCGGCCAGCGAGCCCATGTCGCAGCACCTGCGACACAAAATTAATATTAGCAGTTGTGGGAAAGGAAAAGAAGGGAAATTAATATTAGCAGTTGTGGGAAAGGAAAAGAAGGGAAATTAATATTAGCAGTTGTGGGAAAGGAAAAGAAGGGAAATTAATATTAGCAGTTGTGGGAAAGGAAAAGAAGGGAAATTAATATTAGCAGTTGTGGGAAAGGAAAAGAAGGGAAATTAATATTAGCAGTTGTGGGAAAGGAAAAGAAGGGAAATTAATATTAGCAGTTGCGGGAAAGGAAAAGAAGGGAAATTAATATTAGCAGTTGCGGGAAAGGAAAAGAAGGGAAATTAATATTAGCAGTTGCGGGAAAGGAAAAGAAGGGAAATTAATATTAGCAGTTGCGGGAAAGGAAAAGAAGGGAAATTAATATTAGCAGTTGCGGGAAAGGAAAAGAAGGGAAATTAATATTAGCAGTTGCGGGAAAGGAAAAGAAGGGAAATTAATATTAGCAGTTGCGGGAAAGGAAAAGAAGGGAAATTAATATTAGCAGTTGTGGGAAAGGAAAAGAAGGGGAATTAATATTAGCAGTTGTGGGAAAGGAAAAGAACGAGAGAAGTAATAACGGACTTTTTCGAGCAGCACAAACTGGGAGTGCTTCGGCGGTCGTTCCTGTTGGGGGACACGGCTACTGTAGGGGCCCAGGGCAGCGTCAGGCCCCCTGCTCGATATCGATACGTATCATGCACAAACATTGTGCAAGATTTAATGGATGAATAACTGAAGTACATACAAACAACGAACCTCCGTTCATCACATCCCAGCCTTGGCACAACCATCCTATTCCGTTATGTAGTAGCTGGTACAAAGTACGGCACCATGAACAACTACAAATACGCGCGGAAGTGCATCACCAGCATCATCTCGAGAGGCCTTTTCAGCGGTCAGCTACTACACTTTCGCATCCACAGTCGTATCGTTGGTGCTGCATCAATCCGCCGTCCCTTCGATTGAATCGTACAAGAAAAACACAGACCCATTGTGTTCCAACATACGTCCATTGCTGGATTCGTTCCTCGTTACTCCGCCTCCTCCGCCTCCTCCTCCTCCTCATCGTCATCGCCATCCCAACGTCGAATCCCCGATACCTAAGAGAATCCTTCAAAAAACTGGCAAGCCGCAAAATCTATTCTGAAAACCCCCCAAACCCTTTCCTGAAAACCTAAAACCCAAAGCCCAAGAGCTACAGATGAACTACTCGGCAATGGTGATGAATGCATAGCTAGGGTTTTAGGGTTTTAACATAGCAAGTAGGGTTGCAGGCGGTAGGGTTGCAGCAGGGTACGCAGGATCCTACGCGCGCGTTCTCATACCGTCACAAAATTATATTTATTTTATTAATAAATATAAATAGATGCAGCTTCCATCCAACTAGCATTCTGATGTCGCTACGTACACACGCTGCTGCCGTACATGATGTCCTCTTCACTGATGTCTCGTCACTTACTCCATAACGATGGCCACATGCAGAGGGCCCCCGCCTCCCGCTCCTCCTGCGCCTGTGGAGCGCAACATAAGAAAAGAGGCATACAGAGGGCGCCCCGGCATACGTAGAAAAACTTATCGATACGTTTGTCAATCAGCAAAGGATGGATGGTTAAGGAGAGCGAGATCACGGGTCGATGTGCACATGTGTTTTTTATTACATGGATATATAATTATACGAACTTCGTTGTGTGGGTATGTATCGATGTGTACATGCGCACGAGCGAGTTGCACCACACACAGCAGCAGCCAGCAGCAGCAGCAGCAGCAACCACCGTGTATTCACTGCAGCGCCATCCCCGGATGGAGTGGCTGCGGAGTGGCTGCGTAGAGTGTTGGCAGTCTGAGTCGGGGTCGGGAGCACACAAGACTAACCGACTTGTGCTGTGTGCTCCCGACCCATGCGCTGTGTTTCGGCTTCGGCCCCCGGCTCTCGCGGCCCACAGTGTAATCTAAGACATACATACGTACTGGCTGGCAGAGTTTAAGGCCTGACTTCTGCTCCCGGCCGACCCGGGTTCGAATCCGCCTGCCGGCTCCTCGGGTGTTTGAGGAGTGTTGAAATGGTAGGTGGCCCCCCATCATATGGACGATGTAGGACGTGATATTACAGGCAGGCGGCTGGCAGAGGTTAAGGCCTGACTTCTGCTCCCAGTTGACCCAGTCGACCCGGGTTCAAATCCGCCTGCCGGCTCCTCGGGTGTTTGAGGAGTGATGAAATGGGAGGTGGCCCCCCATCTTATGGACGGTGTAGGACGTGATAATATCAACTTGCGAGCTGACCAGGAACTAAGTTGATGCGCCGTTGATCCGCTAGATTTGGTTGGATGCTGGTGGTGAGTTGCCGAACTCAACGAATACATTCTGAAGTCGGATGGGGTGACGGATTAGGGTGCCCCTCTAGCAGGGGAGAGCAGGGACTGCCCCGGGAAAGGGGGCCGCTGGCGAAGTTAACCACCCTGTAACAACATACATACATGGATTGGGGTGCCCCTCTCGCAGGGGAGATCAGGGAGCTGCCTCGGGAAAGGGGGCCGCTGGTGAAGCTATACCAACCTGTAACAACATACATACATACATACGTACATGTGTGTTTTCACGTTTCACCTCCTGGAGGTGCGTTACCCTCCACGCAACGTGTAAAACAACGTGAGGTCCCCCCCTACGAATATGTAAGTGATTTTTAGCTGTTAAGGACGGACTATTTATTCTCTCAAGGCTGCTGCCGCTGCTGCTGCTGCTGCTGCTGCTGCTGCTGACGACGACGAGGACGACGAGGACGACGTACCACCGGCACAGCGCGAGCAACACATTCAGTAATAATGCACCTGCTTCTTTCGTCAGCAAGTTGGCAGTACTAAACAGTTGTCAACACAGCGCAATACGTACCCCCAACATTGGCGTACTGCGGCTGCTGTTGCTGCTGTTGCTGTTGTTGCCGTTGATCTGCCGACTTGGGGCCCACGGGAACTAGCTTGGGCAAGTCGTTGGGTCCCCGTCCCGGCACAAGGGCCACTTTGGTGTGGTACGAGTACACCTGCAGGACGCACACATAAATACATACACACACAAAGAGACATACATACAGAGACACACACCGCCGCAAGCGGGCGACTGAGCTGTGTGTCTGTGTGTGTGTGTCTGTGTGTCTGTGTCTCTGTGTCTCTGTGTTACGATCCCCGGCCGGGAGTTGTGTAAACCAAGTAACGCAAGTAAACCTGCAAATGCCCCCCTCCCCCTCCCCCTCCCCCCAGCACGCACACGTGAGCCGGAGGAGAGTTATCAAGGTCCTGTAAACACGCCTGCCTAAAACCCTAAAAACCCTAAAACCCTAAGTTAACAAGTATGTATGTAAGTATGACTTAGATTACACTGTGGGCCGCGAGAGCCGGGGGCCGAAGCCGAAACACAGCGCATGGGTCGGGAGCACACAGCACAAGTCGGTTAGTCTTGTGTGCTCCCGACCCCGACTCAGACTGCCAACACTCTGCGCAGCCACTCTATGCACCACCAACCCACTTGCACTATGTTCGGATGGCTAATCGAAGATAGCACCGCCAGCTCCCGGGCCCCGCGCATCAGGTCCTGTAAGCACGCCTGCCGAGCCGCGGCCCACATCGAGGCCGCTGCTGCTCCCTGCTGCTGTTGCTGCTGCTGCTGCTGCCCGCATCCGACGCTGCCGTCCGTCGTCGCCGTCGCCGCCGCCGCCCCCGCGGCTTCCGATGACAGGCCCAGCGATGAGCAATCCGCCGCCGTATCGCCTGCTGCTGCTGCTGCTGCTGCTGCTGTCGCCTGCTGCTGCATTGGCGGCGGCAGCGGCAGCATGGAGCTTGCTTTAGCGAGGGTGACGGCGGCAGCGTGGGCCTGCTCGGCCCGGAGCACCTCTGGGAAGACCTCCTGTGCGCCATCATTCAGCGGAGCCAAAACTTTCACCGCGACCTGCATGACGGGCATAGAAGTGGAGGGCGGGCAGCAAGATGTCGCCCGCTAATGGAAAAGTGGCCAGATAGAATAGTTAGAGCAAGGTGGCTATGGAAAATATTACGCGAGCTGTAACGTCTGGATGTACGACATCATCACGGTGATTACGTACATGTGGACCGAGGATGGCCAGTCCTGCCGCGTGCCGGTGTACATGAACTGAAAAAAGGTTTCGCCCCCTCAGTCAGTTTTAAATCCAAACAAATAAAAGTGATATGTAATATATAATGTAATGTAATGTAATGTAATTTTACAGAGTGGGAGGCTTCTGGGCCGCTTTATCACATTGTCAGTTCCACGATTTATCACCTTATAGCACCATCCACCCAATATATAATATAATATAACATAATATAATATAATATAATATAATATAATATAATATAATATAATATAATATAATATAATATAATATAATATAATATAATATAATATAATATAATATAATATAATATAATATAATATAATATAATATAATATAATATAATATACTATAATATATATAATATAATATAATATAATATAATATAATATAGTATAGTATAATATAATATAATATAATATAATATAATATAATATATACTATATTATAGTATAGTATAGTATAATATACTATATTGTACTATACAATAGTCCACATAAACATTTCTCCAAATCTCGGTAAAGTACCCCTGTACTCTCTAATTTACATAGGGTCCACTAAACTAGACCCTATATACAATAAAGAACACTGTATTGTCAAAAACGGTAATTGTATACTCTTCCAATCCTGGCACAGTATACAATAACAATATAGAGACAATACAGTATTGTTTATGTGGACTATAAAATAGTCCACATAAACATTGTCCAATATTGTAAATAGGGTCTAGTAAACTAGACCCTATTTACAATATTAGACAATCTCTGTATTGTTTATGTGTAATTTTAGTTTACTAAAATTACACATAAATAATACTGGAGCGGGGTTGTGCGGTGTTGTGTACAACACCGCACAGCCTTCCACGAGTGGAATAGTATACATTAACAATATAGGACAATCTCTGTATTGTTTATGTGGACTATAATATATACTATACTATATTATAATATAGTATAATATATAATAATATAGTATAATATAATATATAATATATAATAATATATAATAATATATAATAATATATAATATATAATAATATATAATATATATAATATAGTATAATATAATATATTATATTATACTATACTATACTATACTATACTATACTATACTATACTATACTATACTATACTATATTATATTATATTATATTATATTATATTATATTATATTATATTATATTATATTATATTATATTATATTATGTATATGTAAAAGATGCAGTTGGCGTAATAACCTAGCTGCCAGAATCCCCGCATGAATCATAGGAAACGCCGTACATCTGCAGGCCGCTGCTGCCGTACGCACCTCCAAGCCCAGCAGTCGCCCGGCGAACACGATTGAGCAACCTCCGTCACCAATGACGCGAGTCAGTCGCAGGAAGCGCAAATCTTCAGCGGCGTAGGGGCTGCAGTGCGTGCATCACCGTTTGTCCATTCAAGGGAAGACCGTCGAGATCGCGGACGGAAGCGTCCGGAGGCGGGTTAATTAAGAAGTCGTTTGAAGGTTTTGGGATTTTAGTTCATGACAAGTTACGAAGTAACTTTTTATGGAAGTACGGAAGGGTAAGAGCGAGGTGAGGGCACGAGCCTGAAGCATCCACATCATTATTCATAACGACGGGGACTGAAGCTATAGCTCCTATTATTATAACAGGCAATTTTAACAACTAGTAGGAAACATACTTTGGACTTTTTAAAGCAAACCCCAGCTTGACGCAAATAAATCCATGAGCTATTATGCGATCCATTACCTCTTCTGTGAAACAGGGGGGTATATCTTCGGCCGTGGCAGCTACCCTGCGAAACCCTGCCTTCCCCGATATTTCGGGGCACCCTCATCCAATCACCCTAGTCAACTTCACAGTGGATCGCTCAGGTTCCGCACCCACCACCAGCATCCAAGGGAATCTGCCGGGTCGACAGTGGCCCAACTCCATTCCTGGTCGGCTCGCGAGTCAAGATTATCCCAGGTCACCACCGGCCACAATTTAGGGGCGCCATACCTTCCACCATCGGAAGGGGTTTTCATCCTTACGGGTATTGATCCCGGGATCTCCCGGGGCTATGGTCGCGCGTTACCAGTAGTGCCAAACCCTAGTATTACCTGCAGACTTTTGCCATTGTATCACAAAAAAAATATTCGATTTAACCGAACCAGGAGTTCAAGGTCAAAGCTGAATTACTCGTGAACTAGGCAGCCCATATGATGACTCCCAACTGCCAACTGCCAACTGACGCACCTCGGGTCAGCCTCAACGTCGTTAATCGTTGTGAAGCAGCTGGCCAGGAGCACGTCCAGGGGGGGCAGCCCAAGGACCCGCGCGTCGCCGCCCATGCCGTCCAGGTCCAACAAATCCGAAACCGATCTCCGCGGCACTCGTGGCAACGCAACAGGACCTCCCACACTCGCAGAGCAAGCTAATCGCGCACGGAGCAGTGGTGTAAGCAGCGATGGCGAGCTGCGCCCCCCGACGGCGCCGATGCTACTGCTGCCTCCGGCGACGGCACCGACCTCCAGGACATGACCGTTAGTGGTTGCGCAGTGGCGTTTGGTGGTTGACGCTGTCACGGATGCCGTTGGAGATGCGAGCTGCGTGGTAAAGGGCGACAGCACGGATACCACCAGCTCAGCGGGGGCCAAAAGACGGCGGCCACCGCCGCCACTGACACCCCCGCCGCCACTGACACCCCCGCCGCCACCGCCACCACAGGTGGACGAGCCCGGTGAGTCCGGCATGAGAACGTCTCGGCCATCGCCCGTAGCTCCTTGCATCTGTGTCTGTGTACGACTGAGCATGGAGCTGCGACTGGAGAACTTACGGAGCGGCAGACGCAAAGGCGGCGGCGGCAGAGGCGGCGCCGACGCCGATGCCGACGGCGCCGTCGGCAATAACCGATCTGGCGGGCAGTACGGCGATTGCGGCAGGGACAGCGACGGCGCGGGCGCCCCAGCCGGAGATCCGGCGGACGCCGTCACCGCCCCCGCGGCCGCCGCCGGTGACGTGACGGTGGCGTGGGAGCCGTTGCTAACCGTGCGCTGAGGGAACCCACCGAATCGGTGCCTGGCCCCGTTTGTAGAAACCGGCGGGGATGCTGTGCAGCATGGCTCGCTGTCCTTGCGGCCTAGCGCGGCCATACCGTAGCTGCTGCCTGTGGTCAAGAGGATGGCATGTACGACATGAAGTACGGCAGCCAGAGCCGCACCATATGAGCACACCGTACCGTACGCTTGCGTTGAAGGCCCCATAGGATGAGGAGTAGGATTAGCATCGGGTTATGTTATGTTGTGTCTTATGAACAAGCCACATGCGCGTTTCGTATACGTGCGTATGTATGTACCTTCACCGGCCGGTAGCAGGAAGGCTATTTGCGTCATCTGCGTTACATTACTGACATTCTGCGTCTCGTCAATATCTTTTGGAGAGACGTCTCCCACCTGTACGCCCTGCTGCTGATGCTGCTGATGCTGCTGATGCTGCTGATGCTGCTGTTGCTGCTGATGCTGCTGATGCTGCTGATGCTGCTGTTGCTGCTGCTGTTGCAATTTCTTCTGCACCTCCGCAGCCTCAACGCTTCATCACCGCCACACCGCTCCGCTGCCACCACCACCACCACCACCGCCACCGTCAAATACACTCGCATCGCACGTTTAATCGCACCTCCCTCAAATCCACCCACCCACATGCACACGCAAAACTATGTGAACGAAAAAAGTGCGCTTCACGCCCCCGGGGGGAAGCCCCGGGTGCCATCCAGCACATGCACAGTCGTTCTCCCATGCCGCTGCTGTACACCACCGTACACAGCCGTACACTGCAGTTTTAACCATGAAAACGATGTCCGTACCTTGCAGCACACGGCTCTCCACCAGGAGGCTCATCTCCGCAACCTCCATGGCGGTCGCACCCCACGCGAGGTTGTCCAGGCAAGCAGGCAAAAGGACCTACATCAGCCGCCCGGGGCCGCCGGCCCGCCAGACATCCAACATGCACCCGTGAAAAGGTTGCCAACATCAGACATAATTAATGAATGTCCAGGTTTCACGCATGCATGCTATGCATGCGAACATGCATGCTATGCATGCGAACATGCATGCAGCGACGCTTTAAGTGGGCCAGGCGTCCGGCGCGTTCCGGCCTCAAAAGGCTAGGGGTTTTAGAAATGGAATCCAGGTGCAAGTGCGACCTCAACAGCTCTTCATCGCGAGCCGCAGTGGCGGCTTCCACATGTGGTGGTGGCATCGACCGTTGAGATCTCTTTCTCTTGAGGAAAGCAGTGGTGCGTCGCGGCCATGTGCAGAATTGCAAGTCAAGGCAAGTCACGGCAAGGCAAGGCAAGGCAAGTCACGGCAAGGCAAGGCAAGGCAAAGCACGGGACGGCAAGGCAAACAGGTTATTTCGGGGGTTGGTGCGCGCAGAGGGCAAACACAAGTCTGTGGCAAAGGAGAGGAGAAGGGGAGGAGGATGGCGAAGCTGGTGCTGAACTACGGATGCGACTCCAGCCGAGGATATAAGATAATGGTAGGAAACGCCGCATAGGCGCGTGTGCCGTACCTCCATCAGTTTTTGTGCCGTGTCGCGAGCCACCCTAAGAAGGGACATGGGCAGCCGGTCCACCGACGTAATGAACAATGCAAGGCGGGGCCGTGCGACGCCTGAGCCGACGCCGACGGCGGCGCAAACGTCGTCATCGACATTGCCGTACGCGTCTTCAGGCGTGGGACTCAGCGGACCTAGATCTCCGCTGAGGCCGCGACGCAGTCCGCCGACGCCGACGCCGGTCGCGGCTGGCAGCGCCCCCGACGCCAGCAGCACAAGGCACGTCGGCTGCAAGGCGGCGGCGTTCGCGGTGCTGCTGCAGCTGCCGCCGCCGCCGCCAGCGCCGCCGCCAACCCCGCCGCCGCCGCAGCGGCGGCTGTTGCTGAGCAGCAGAAATACATCGCTACCTGCCTGATCCACATCTTGTAGATAGCCGTGCAGATCAGGCAATATAGTTGACGTCAGCCGTACACGCCTGTCCGCAGCCAGCGGCAGCGGCGGTATTGATGGCGACACGCCTGCTTCCGGTGCAGCTACAGCCGCCGCCGCCGGCACCGCCGGAGGTCCCAGGTAGGCGACCTTGGAGTTGGCTGCCATCGACGGCGACGTTGAACTCGGCTTTCCCATGACGCATCTGGTGTACGACTCTCCCGTTAAGCAACAGCTTTCGAAGGGCGCCGCAGATGCGCAGCTTCGCATAGCGCCATCCTCCCGCAGTAGCTCCCCCAAGAGTGACGAGGACATTAGGAAAGGTACGACCTGCACGAGCGAGTGAGAGCGAGTGAGAGCGAATGAGAGCGAGTGAGAGCGAGTGAGAGCGAGTGAGAGCGAGTGAGAGCGAGTGAGAGCGAGTGAGAGCGAGTGAGAGCGAGTGAGAGCGAGTGAGAGCGAGTGGGAGCGAGTGAGAGCGAGTGAGAGCGAGGGCCGTTGATTCCGGTCAAATAAACGTACACATTGCGCAAAAACGATCCCTCGCTCCCCCTGTAGTAGTTCAAGTCCGTTTAGCGACAGGAAACTCCCAAACTGAATTCCCAAGCAAGCTCCATCAGCCAGATTTGGAAAGAGAATCCTCGGTTTCAATCTGATCGTTCGTGGGGTCGCAGCGCAGTCCACATCCAGTGTGCTGTGTGATCCCACGGGTGCTGTGAGCGGTTGCACAGACCCGTAAAGAGAACAGAGCACACGGAGGCTCCCTCTGTGTGCGTCACAGGAGCACCATCCCCCAACAGCCCCTCAACAATACCTTCCAAGCCCTCCGGTCACGATGTGACTCGCCCAGCAGCCGGCTGGCCGTGGCGGCGGCGGCATTGGAGGCGGCGGCGACGGCGCTGCCGCCAACCCCTTGCCCCGCGCACAGCCTGCTACTCGCTTGCACATCCCCCTCGTTGCCGGCGAACGTCGACTCCATTTTCATGGCGTCCACTGTCGTGACCAAAAGGAACGACCTTGTGGAGACAGGTAGAGAGTTTCAGAAGGAGGCGCAGATAAGCTGGGGTGAGGGAACGGATGGAGACACACATAAACACATACACACACACAAACACACACACCAAACAAGACGGCTGCCAGCCGCTGTCATCAACCACTACTTGGCCACACTGGGGCTTGCTCACCAACTCTGAACCCACCCGCTTCTGGAAGGGACATCAATGCCACCACCGCGACCGTCGATCCCAGGCTGCTGTTGTTGGTTGTGGTGGTTGTGATGGTGCTGATGTTGAGGTCTGCTACGGCTGCCACCTCCGTCATTAGCGGAAATGGGGATACGTGGCGCCGGCAGCGGCGGCCCGGCGGCTCCTGCCGACGGCGCCGGACCTGACCCGCCGTGCAGGTCCGCGGTTTGCAGCTGCCATGCTGTCGCAGCCGGGGTCGGCCCCTGGTTTAGGGTCGACGGAGACCGCAGCTGTAGCATAAAGCCGTATTGCATGGCGGCGGTAGCGGCGGTGGCAGCCGTGAGGCCGCTGACGTCGGAAACGGCGGGCCCGCCGCCGCCGCTGCCTCCGCTGCCGCCGGCCGTCGTCACGGCCACACGGACTTGAACCTCTATATGGGCCTCAGATCGGAGCGCCTCTGAGACGGTGTTGGAAAGGACTGACGCCAGCGCGCAGATGTCTGGCGAATGAGCAAGACGGTGCGCAGCCGTACAAGCCTAGAGGCAGCAAAAGCGGCGGCGGTGGATGGATAGGGGGGCATTGACGGCTTCCCCGGCTGCAGTGGAGGTGGAGGCAGAGGCGTTGGTCAGTTTGGGCGGCAGAAGAAGCGTTGGTCACAACGGCATCATTAACCGTAATCAAAAGGTGCGTAACTTCCGCTTCCTGCCGTGCACTCACGGACAAGAACCACTTTTTCCAGAGCCAGATCTTACCACGGCGAAGATGTACGACCCACCATCGGGAGCAAGCCTAACATGGAGTCACACTAGATACCTTAAACACGCTCCCGCTCTTTTCGCTCAGAATCCAGGCAATAATCTTTTGCCGTAATGTGTTTGTTAGTACTGTATGCCCCAAGTTTAAAGGAGAGCCGAAAGCCTCAAACCTTGCGCAGGCGAATGCAAGCTACTCGCCTGCTGCAGGTCCCGTAGATGCGGCGCAAAAACGCAGTCTACAAGAACAGCCGCTACAGCCTGTGCAGCTGTTTCCGAGTCGCAAAGCCGCAGCAGCTCGCCGCCATCCCCAGCATCGATTGATCCCGTCGTACAATCTCTGCCACATCCCCCGCCGTCGTGGGGATCTGCAGGGCACACAGTGACACGCGCATGCGACCCCGCCGGCGTTGCCGGGGGAAACAGCATCCCTGCCGGCGCTGCCGCCGCCGCTGCCGCTGCCACCGCCGCCGCCGCCGCCGCCGCCGCTTCCTTACACGGCACCATCTGGGCGCAGAACAGCGCCCCCACCAGCTGCTTCCCGAGCTCCAGCGGAGCCAGAAGGATGTGCAGGTGCTGCTGCTGGCAGAGCTTGCTCGGATTCATCGGCTGCGCCTTTGCCTTTGGCTGCGCCTGGTGGGACTGGCCGGGTTGTGGGGGCTTGGTTTCATATTGCCCGGCTCTGTGCTCGTGGGGCCACATGACCGGCGCCGCATCCAGAAGGGACCCCAACCCTGCTGCCCAGTTAGCCCTCCAGCTTAGATCCGAGGCAATGTCACCGGGAGCCACCTGCCAACGGGTGGGGATGGGGACTGCGCGCTTCATTTCCACTTCCACTTCCACTTCCACATCCACGCAGAGGTTGCACGGGTTTCATTTCATACCTCCCGGCGATGCAGCGCTTTGTGTAATGGAAACAACGGATCCTGTTACCCTAGGAAGGTGGATTGTCGTCATTCCACACACTCGTAAAATAGCTAATGGTGCGCGAAATCGGACTCTGCCGTACAAAGTACAGGTAGGTTGGTAGTTAGATAGTTAGGTAGATACGATAATAAGTATATATTAGTACGTAAGTAAGTACACATAATGTACATGCATATACACATTGTATACGTACATACAGACAGAAGTGTACCAAGTAAAGGAAGGTACGACGCACCGTCCACAGAAGCGTCTTCCTGGGCTCCTTTTCGCTGTACGATGGCGACAGCCACGGTGACGGCATCACCTGACCGATCGGCAGTAGCTCTGGGCTGCCAGTGAGGCTGCTACAGCCCAATAGGACAAGCGAGTTACCGCAGGCAGATGCGCCAAAGATGCTGTCGGTGGCAACGAAAGCAAAACAGGATGCGGTGTAACGCCAAAAAATAGTTTAGGATGTAGTGTAACGCCAAAAGAAGGCCGGGGGAATGCTGCGTGCGAGCTTAACTTAATAGTTGCAAGGTACAAAGATATGAAGTGCGTCAAGCGTATTTTAGCTCCGGAGCCGGGGCCCCTGTCCTGAGGCGCCTCCGGAATCCGGAGTGTGACCTGGGGATCGCGCACCGTGTGCATCGTCATCCCTGAAGTTTACAAAACGTATCGTGAGCCATCAACCTGGCGGTTCTTCGTCAAACATTTCTTATAAACAATTTTTATGAACATTGTTTATCTTTGCTATCAAAACGTGGATCTGGATGCGATTTTCTTTTCAGCGCGTTGAACGTCCACCTTGCACTGACCGCAACACCTATCGCGAACCGGATTGATGAACAAGCCCATCCCGTCCTCTGCCCGCGTGCGTATTTCTCTGCACTTCGATGTGTGTCAAGCTCACGGTAGCTGTGGCTCCCGTCTCGACTCAATCAGCTGTCAGAGAAGCTCATGCCCTGCATGTCTTCGTGCGGCCGCAGATCGCAGCCGCCAAGTGGTCGGCAACGCATTTGCTGATTGCGGCGGTAGGTCATACAACATTTACCGGATTTGGACTTAGATAGCTTACACGATGCTTACATGGTCTGAACGGATGCATGTATGCCTCATGCGTGTTTGTTGGCGCGCATCTAAAACCGATTCAGTTGCCGGCGACAACAGCTGCGAGGCATGAAGGCAATCACGCCGTGTGCAGCCTTACGACACATTAGTTCATTGGATGGGCTTGCACTGGATTGGACAGCCCACCGGCTTGTAGTGAATGCGCATTTTCCCAGCTTCGACGAAGATGGCGCCGTTACCGCTTTTCCTGACGGTCGTTAACATAATCGAACTGAATGGTTTTAACCAATCTCTCTGTCTTCTGCTTTGTTGCGTAGTTTGTGCGTGCTTGGATTTATAGGAAATAGATGTGGAGAAGCTCTGCCATAGATTTGAGCTATACTGACAGCGACAGAAGAAGCTGTCACAGTGTTGCGCTACGCTGACAGACGTCGGCGGCGGCGAGATGGCGCAGCAGTGCAAGCAAACCCCACCTGACATGTGACGATGGACCCATCGCCGCTCCCAAAATTTCTGCTGCATGTATTGTGCTTGTGTGCCAAGATTGAGAGGAGCTTAGGCGAACGCTGTCAAGCACTGCTCGCACCACTTGATCCTGTGACACATGGACATGGCGAGACCGTCCATAAACCGATAACGATGTGGCATCGATCAATTGAGACAATGAGTATCACGCCGTGCGTTGCAGATGAAACCAAATCCTGGTCTGCAGCAGCGAGCGAGTTGGCATTCTCTTCAGGTGAATGCCGCTGGTCCACCTTACCTGAGGGCGCTCATCACAAAACTCCTTCACAGGTTGCCCGCAACAAAAACTGCGAAGCCAAGACATGCCAAAAGCTCCAGCGCTCGTGTTTCACCAGGGTTGATATGTATGCCCACTGGAAATGCCAGCGCCCAGCATACGCCAGCAGAGAAGATAGCTAAACAAGATAAGCTTCAAGCTTATCCCTTAATCGAGTGTTTCAGTTTGCGGCGTCCGTTAATCAGCTAAGCTCATGCCGGCGACGGCCTCGCAGTTAAAACAAACCCCTTTACAGCCATGCGCTTAATATAAAGTTATGAGTTATCATAATGCTGAACAAATGGCGCGTTATTGTAACACGTGCACAACGAAGCTCATTGACGATCTGTCAGCAGTTACGGCTTGCCTTGGAAGGTACGAGCGCGTAACCGTGCCGTTTCTTAATCAGCAATGCACACATATTATTAATCAAATCGCACGTACTCATTATATCATTGGGGTGAACTATCAGAGGCTTCGTTTATAGCATTGACGCTCCTATCACTCCGCAATCGGAAAAGGCATGAACATATTCGCCTCTGTCAAGCTCCTGATTTCGGACATAAAATGTAAAGTATGCCGCTATGTGTTAGTTACAAGCTCGCGAGGGCTCGTAAGGCCCAGACGAGCCAGGAGGCTCATGGACCGCGAGTTCTAGCGTAGTCAAAAGGAATGAAGATAAAAACGGAAAAAGAAATAAAGGGTTATGAGCCCCATATGCGAGAGAAAACAGTAGCTAGGGTAAGCGACCTCTAGTCATGCTTACTACTCGGCTAGCAGCGTGCGGCGCCTCATCCAGATGTTGTGTACGATCTGCGCAACTTTACGCTGATCGTCTATCCCCATAACAAACCTCATAGTAAACATGGGCTCGATATAATCCTGGGTTGAGGAGCCCTTCCCGAAGGTCGTTGTAGGCGGGACGCTCTAGCAAGACGCGAAACTCATCTTCTACTGCATTATTGTTGCCACAGACCCTATACCAGCGCTCCTGGTGCGACCGACGCCGGGTCGGCTAACCTCCAAAGGCCACCACGCCCCTAAGCGAAACTGCAAAGCAGTGACAAGTTTTACTTTGCAGGATTGTAGCACGTCTGTGTTTCGGCGTTTCCAATCCAATGGATATGCCGGCACGTTTTAACCCGTTTACGGTTACAAATTCCCGGGTTGATGCTGTATATTAAGACGTGGTTGGCGTGCCCGTCACCGGAAACCCTATGTATTTAGGATTCTTTTTTCTTTATTCTTTAAACTTATGAACCATGGCCGGAAACGGTGCAGACAGCTCAACGCCGCACAGCTCAAGGTTCCAACTGCCATTCGATGTCATAGGTTGGCGTGGCCGTCAGCGTGCGGCCGGCCACGGGCCGCGGGCCGCGGAGTATTTACCAGGATCACACTTTTTTTGCAAGTTTGGTATGCTAGCGAGGAAACGGTTGTGAGAATCAAAGATATGCAGGAGATGCGTATCTTACTTATCTCGGTATGCCACACGTACCGCGGGTGCCGCACGAGATCATACCGTCCTTCAAGGTTTCTACGGCAGATCTAACATTGGTCGGGTTCGACGAAATGAAATTGACCTTCCCCTCTTCATACAGGTCCAGGTGCAGCTCTGGGAAGTGAGCCCTAAGCACCTGAGATTCCTTAGGATCATCGCACCACCTCAGTTGGTGGCAGTCGAATCATCAAAACATACTGCAAGACGTATCTCCCCTCACACAAAACATTGTGAAACACAGTCCCCTTCGCAACCGGAACCCGCGGGTTCCAAAAACGGTAAATCAGTGAGGAACGCGATATGTGCTACTGGTACGATAAAATGTTAGTAACTTCGGCTTGTTTAGGTATGCAACGCGGAAAAACTGTACATTCTAAGCATAGATAAGTCGCATTTATTCCTGCAAAGACGGATTCTTCGAGGGTTGGGGTCCTTCCGTGTCACTATTTGCAAGTACGAAATCCCGTTCCTCTGTCCATTTTCGGACGTCACAGGTGCGGGTTGCGCTTAGCAGTCACTTTGCAGTCGTGCCCTCTGTCGGGCAGAAACAGCTACGTTTCAGCAGCCGCAATGTCTTTTTGGGCGAGGCCCCGGGCGCGAAGCGCCATTCGGTGGGCCGAGCCCCCGCAGTCCGTCCGTCCGTCCGTCCGTCCGTCCGTCCGTCCGTCCGTCGGTCCGTCCGTCGGTCCGTCGGTCCGTCCGTCCGTCGGTCCGTCCGTCCGTCGGTCCGTCCGTCCGTCCGTCCGTCCGTCAGGCAGGCAGGCAGGCAGGCAGGCAGGCAGGCAGGCAGGCAGGCAGGCAGGCAGGCAGGCAGGCAGGCAGGCGGCGGCTTACATATCTTGCTCCGCAAAAAATAGCGCTCAAAAGCTACATCGATTCTACATCGGTTGTCCAAAGGAAACAGTTCAGATAAATTGGAGCGCAAAGATAGCTTTCCAGGGTGAGATACATTTATGAATCTTACTCCGCTAAAGATTGCATGTAAAAGCCACATCAATTCTTTATCGATTGGCCAGAGGAGAAAATTCAGATAAAACGGAGCGCGCTCCATTGCTTCGAGTTTGACTTCCCCTCACCTCGCAGCCCTTGCATCTGACGTCGTTGCATATCCCTTACATCATAAATTCATAAGCAAATGGCATGATCCTTTATGGGTTGGTTCCTTCATGCTCGGCAACTTTAGACCGACCCAGGGTACCGCTCTAAGCACTTCCCTCCTCGCGTCTCGCTTGTGCCTGTTTGCGAAACACCATCAGCTTTGCCTCTACATTCCGACTTCAAAATGTGCATTTGGAACCATCCTCGAATGCGTTCTTGCTGGGAGCGGACAACAACTGGTCGATGAAGAACGGGCACTTTGGCGCGCCTTAGACTGCCAGCCGACTCATGGGTTTGGCGCAGCAGCGGCAACACACGTTGCCGCAGTTACACTCCTGATTTGTGTGAATGTCATTCTACGGACTGCCGCATCACGAGAAGGCTAACTGTTCAGTCAAGACTGATTATGCTATGGCGGCTGCGCGCTTGCAGCCATCCAGACAGGTCTAGGCCGCCGTAGCAAGTCTGTCGACCTTTATTGTTTGAGAATCTCAGGCAGCTGGCCGACCTCTAACACTTTATTCACAATAACAAGTGTGTACTCCAAACGTGACGGCGTTCTTGTGCTTGCAGTCCTATGCCGTACGGACTGCCCTACGAATCGTCGCTGAAATTGCACTGGTAGCCAAATGGGGCGTGGCAACCTGAAGTGGCAACCTTGATCCGAGTTCAAGTCCAGCAGCAGATCGTAGGTCTGTGAGCTCTCCCATGTCAACAATTGTACGGCAAGTTGAACACAGGTCCGCTAATCACATTGGTTCACGAGGGCCTTACACCCTGCCAGCCCGATTGTGTACACCAAAGTCACAGGCACCCCAAACTTTGAAGTGCAAGAGAGCGCGACTCAGGCCACCCGCTTAACTTCAGCCGCGGTCCGTCTTCTTACGTTGTCGGCATATATGTATAAATACGTATATATAAGTATAAATAATTATATACATGTATGTATATGTACATATGTATGGATGCATCCATGTGTGTGTGTGTGTGTATCTGTGTATGATGTGTGGGACAGGGGGCCATATCTTCACCCGTGGCCGCTACCTGGCGAAACCTTCTGTGTACATGGCCTCGGCGCGGGGGAGCCAGCAGCAGCAGCAGCAGCAGCAGCAGCAGCAGCAGCAGCAGCAGCAGCAGCCTGCACAAGCCGACAGCCGCGACATCCGGCCCGATCTCAGCCCAACCGTTTACTCCTCCTCCCGCTCAATATGTGCTAATCTTTGCAGAGATCCCTATAGCATTACTTAATCTTTTCACACTTAATATTTTCACCCTCCCCGCTGATCCACTTGCCCTATATAAGGCGCGATATAAACTGGACAGGTCCTCAAGTCCCCTAATGAATCCTTACAATGGCTGACCAAAATCACAAAATTTACAATCTCACGTTACATTGCCACAAAAGCAAGCTCTAGGGCGAGCAAGCAAGCAATAGGTATGTGATCGACCCGACCTGCCACAATAAGCAAGTTACCGTACAACGGACTGTACGACCTACTGGATGGGCTTCAGCCACAAAATCCATCAAGCACAAAATCCACAAGCAATACTGTTGTACGATAAACGACTTCGATCTCGCCGTAGCATTTCTGGGAATACGTAGAACGCCAACGCACTATGTGATGTGTGTGTGAGACAGGGGGTTCATATCTTCACCCTGCGGACGCTACCCTGCGAAACCCTGCCTTCCTCGGTGTTCGGGGTTACCCTCATCCAGTCATCCTAGTGAACTACTCAGTGGATCGCTCAAGTTCCGCACCTATCACCAGCATTCAGCGGAAACAGCAGCTCAGCTCAGTTCCTGGTCAGCTCGCAGGTCCATTTTATCCCTGGCCACCGTCGTCCGTCAACTAGGGATACTTTTACTTTCACCATCGAAAGAATTTTCTAACCTAACAGGACTCGATCCCGGGATCTTCCGGAGACATCGGTCTGTGCGTTACCAGTAGTGCCTGACCTTATATGTACACATATGTACGATAATATATATGTACAATTATACGACTGCGACTACATCAATCAATAACTAATAACTCCAATGTACATTCAAAAACCGGGACAGAGAGAGGGAAAGAAGGAGGGAGGACGTGCATCTGTCCGTCAAGGTGGGGGACGCCGGACGGGGCGACGAGATGGATTCATTCGCGGCATGTACTGACAGTGGGTAGTGCAGCAGTCCATAATAATATCGCCTAATGATCGCTTTCTTGTCAGTCGGATTTTGGTTGTCCGTGTGTGTCAACATGAGGGCAGGAGGTCAGTTTTCCTCTCTCGCTACCCGCGCACTAATACAAAAAATGTTTGGAATACCCCTTTTCGTATCCTAGCCTCTACGTCCTAGATGCACGTGCACATGCACATGCACACAGTAAGCACGTAAGGGTCCGCAATCCCCCATCATAAGCCAGCCATCTGCAAATCACGTCTCTCAGCAGACATTTGAGAACCCAATCACAATCTAGCAGCATCTACTTGAGAACATGTTCGGCCCCCCCAGGTGTCCTGATCCGCTCACGCACAGACAGCGTGCAACTCCCTGCTACATACTGCAGTACACTCCAATACGTGTGATCCTGCGCAATGTGATGTAATGCTGCATGTAGCCGTCCTGAAAGGGACAGGAGCAGCAGCTGCAGCCATGTCGATAGATATATCCCGCGGCAGCATGCATGCAACACGCAGCAGCACGTCCCTGCAGATCCCCCCCCCTCTCCTGCCCCTGGAGCGGCGAGCCAAAACCCAAAACACACACCATGTCGCTTTGCCCCCGATGGCATCACCCGGTCATTTTGCACCATCACTACACCTCGCTATCACCAGTTCCAACCTGTAGTAGCTGTCGTACAGTACGGCGCACAACGTCAAGGCAAAACTGTGCTTTGCCAGCGTCTTGGGTTTTGAGTCAGTGGCCTTTTCTCAGCGGCCAGCTACAACACATACATACTTTACCTAGCTAGAAATAAATTACATTCTGGACGAATGGGGAGGGCTCCACACCAGGCGGCAATAGCTCGTCAACCCGTCGCTTCAGCTAGCTACACCGTCATACTGGTGGTCACAGTCCAAGTAGAAGCACCTAGACAGCCGAGGTGCCAGAGCGACCAGCTGGCCACCGAACATCATAACAAAGCTCAGACATTCACAAAGCCCAGACCATCAATGGCATTCCCACCATCACCACCACCACCACCATCATCATCACCTTGACCGCTACCTGTTATCTACTGCCGTCACGTCGTCACGGTACGACACACGCAGGCGGCTTAGCAGCGCCATCGCCCACGGCTACCGACGCTGCCACCACTTGCTCCTTGAGCGCCTCCAGCGCGCGAAAGACACCCTTGAGGGCCCTCTCACTGTGAGCCAGCTCCTCACGTACCTGCCGTACAGCGCCCACCAGGTGCACCAACGCCACCAGCGTCACTAGCCAACACACCAAGACCGCAACGACCCAGGGGGGCGAGCGGGATGCAAGCTGAAGCAGCCGGACGATGCTGATGGTGCCGTCGCCGTCGGAAGTGGCGACGGCGGTGGTAGCGGTGACGGCGGCGGTAGCGGCTCCGCCGCGGCCCGAGTCCCCACAGGACGCCGCGGCAGCGACGGCGGCGCCCGAGCACCCGCCGGCCCCGGCCGCTGTGGCCGCTCCTTCGACGGCGTACATTGCCGCCAGCTCGCCTTTGAGCGCGTCGAAGTACTTTCGAGTGTCCTTGGGGGTGCCGTCCTCGATCTTGCCCTTGAGCATTTGGACCTGAACGGCGGGGGGGGGAGGTCGCCGTGTGACGTGTGTGCGTGTTGCGGTAGGATTACCCCCCTCCCTCCCTCCCTCCCTCCCTGAACGATGTTGAAAAATCGGCCGAAGAGTTGCGAATAGCGGAGAAATACCTTTAATATGTTTGCACTACCTGCGCTGTATTTTACATCTTTTAATTATTACCTATATTTTCGCAAAAAAAACTGTTGTCACATCGTCACCCATTTTTTTCCCAAAACAGATTTAAACATAATATTATAACAAATAAAACAATAGCCGCAAAAATTATAAGTTCAACAAAATTCGACCTGACATCACAAAATCCACCTGTAAAATACATAACATATTCTACACCTAGAACAAATAATATGCAAATGCAAAGATGATATAACAGAACCCTTAAGTCTTCCCCTACGTCTTCCCCTTTGGTTACCCCAAAGGTTGTCCCCCTTTTTTGTTCATACCCTCCCTAAGGCCAAGCCCACCCACCATCATGCCGCTCTTGAACCACTCCAGCTGTACGGCAGAAGGGATCCCAAGGTGCGGTGTGGGACGGCGTCGCGGGGCCCCCACACCACACAGCGGCAGCCACAGCACCGCCACCGGCACCACCACGCGACGGTACCAACACGGAGGCGGGAAAGGGGGTGTTTGGGGGGAAACGGAGGGGGCGGAGGTGTCTAGTTGTTTGGCGTAAGTGTGTTCGTGTGGAAAACGTCCGTTGCGTGTATGATGTGTGAAACAGGGGGGTATATCTTCACCCGTGGCAGCTACCCTGTGAAACCCTGCCTTCCCCGGTATTTCGTGGTACCCTCATCCAGTCACCCTAGTCAACTTCTCAGTGGATCGCTCAGGTTCCGCACCCATCACCAGCATCCAACGGAATCTGGCGGGTCGACAGCGGCCCAACTCCATTCCTGGTCAGCTCGCAGGTTAACTTTATCCCAGGTCACCACCGTCCATCAACTAGGGGGGCAACACCTCCCACCATCAGAAGGATTTTCGACCCTGACAGGTCTCGATCTCGGAATCTCCCGGGGGCAATGGTCGGGCGTCACCAGTAGTGCCCAACCTATATATATGCGTGTGTGTACGTGCGCGCGCACAAGTATGTCTATATGTGTCTATATGTGCGCATGTTTGTGTAGATTTATATGTAAAACGACGGCAAAGGCCCCAGGATGGAGGCAAGAGCTCCACCTTTTCAACCCAGCCGCAAAGCTCAATCCACATTTCCAAACGCACACACACACATCCCTTCACCCCTCTACCCCTCACTCACCTTGACTGCTGCTATCAACCGAGTTCTGCTGGGACCCACATGCTGCCCCACGATCTGGTGGACAAAGACCAAGGGGGGGAAGACGGAGGGAAGTACGAGGGCGGGAGGGTTGGGTTTCGGAGCGGGAATCGGGGTACCCACGCCGGGACACGGCAATCACCTTAGTGGCCACAGCTCAACCTAGCAGGTACATTCACTAAGCTCAGATGAAGAATGAATCCCCACGGCAGGTACACACAACACAACCCGCCTCATCTTCCGCTCTGGGTGCTCTGGGTCTGGACGAATGTGGCTCGTGGCGGGGCCCCCCCGCCCCGCCAACCATTTCCTGCGCACACCGCGCACCCCTACATCAATCCCCCACAAATAACCCCCCCCCTCAAGTCCCCTCTCCACGCCCCCTGTTGTATGCACCTTCCAGGAAAGGCACCCCCCCCGCCCGCCGCGGTGAGAACATGGCCCATGCAGGCAGGTAGACGCGATACCCAGGATATGTACATCACATCACCCGCCCCCTCGAGGGCAAAGGCCCCCCAGTCCCATGACCCTCCGTCTGGCCCCACCCCACCCCACCCCCACCTGCCCCAGCACTCGCACACATGGCCCAACGGACGGCACGTGGGGGATCACCGCCTGATGGACCACAAACCCGCCATTGTGCTTGATCATGATCTGGGGGGAGGGGGAGGAGAGGGGGAAAGGGAAAGGGGGGGGGACGGGTTGGATGGGTGAAAGAGAGGCATAGGGTATGAGGGCATAGGTATGAGGCGGTCGAGAAAAGGTTGCCCGTTTCCCGGGTGCAGGTGCAAGAGAGGAAGAAGAGGGGGTGAGAGAGAAAAGGGGAGATCCCCCCTCCTCCGTCCCGCCCGCAGTCCCTTCCTTGGGAAGGGACGGCGAGTTTGAGGGGAGGAATCTATGCTTGTATGTGTGTGTGTGTGTGTGTGTGTGTGTCGGGATGATTTGGCTCCCTCCTTCCCTCCCTTCCTCCTTTCTTTTTCCCAACGCAATCATCCCCCCCTGGCCCCCACCCCCCGACCCTGAACCGGGTTCGTCTACTCTTCGCCCCGCACCTTTTGCTGTGACTGTACGGCCACAGGGCCCACTGGGGAGGGTTTCATGTACGACATGTCCCGCATGCATAAGGCCTTCCCTTCCGGGTCGGGGCCCCAAGGTCCCGCCTTCATTCCCGTGATTTTCTGTGGGTCATGGGAAGAGAGTAGGGTGAAGCACAATATTCAAGCCAGAAGGCATAACGTTGTTTTAACGGCCACGGCATAGGTCCATAAGATCCAAAAACGGACCCCACAAGGCCTTATGAGGTGTGGCCGTGTGAGTTCAGGTCCAGGGCTGAAGCAAGATGTACGAGCCGACTAGGGTCGAGAGCTTTCCGATACACAGACACAGACACACACACAGACACAGACACACACACAGACACACACACACAACACACACAGACACGCACACATACGCATGTAAGTGCCTTTTTTCCGTCTAGGCTTCATATGCCGCAAACAGCTACTGACCAGTCGTCACTCCGAGAGACGAACGGGGCAAAGAGACTGTGAGAGCGGTACTGGCGGCGCCCCAGGGCTCGGCGCCGAGGAAGAGAGTTGTGGGCCTTCACCACCACCACCACCACCACCCGATAGCGGGGATCAACGAATGTATGAATGGATGATGCGTACCTTGAGCTGCATCGCGTGCATCTCTTGCATTTACTATCTTAGTGCCAGAGTCTGACGATAGGTTTTTTCTACATACACTCATAAAGAAGACATGCCTACATGCTCACGTGCTCACGCATGCATACACACGCACACACATATCGAGGTATACATACACACAGCAGCACGGTGGCGCACCTACCTCCACGTTCCCGACCCTCTCAGCCAACTCCGACCCCTCGCCGTACACCATTTTGAGCAGCGCCAGAGGTCCCACACCCACGACAAAATCCGCCACGCCCAACCCCCCGTCAAACGACGGAACAGCCAGCGGCTCCGCCGGACTGTCCACGTCAGCGCCGTCAAACACGTCACCAACGCCGCCGCCAGCGCCTCCGGCGGCGGCGGCGGCCGCGCCGACACTCCCGGCCGCAAGCGAGTCGCCATCGTAGGACTCCCCCGGCTCCTAACCATTCGTGGTAGTGGCGGTATGGGGGGGGCTAATTCGGGGTTGGCACGACAGAGAGGAGGATCATGCATGTCGCCGGGGATTACGGGGTTTTGGTATGGCCATGGTGGCGGTGGGTCGACTCCGGGAACTGGTGGGCTTTCGGCTGGTGCGATGGTGTACGACATGACATCATCTGGCTGGAGAGTGACTGCGGACCTAGTTGCCGATAAAACCTCATGTCCTCCCGGCCAGCCTCCACCCACCACTACCGAATTCTACACCAGCACACCCCCAACTCCCCTCCCCCCCCAGCTTATATCTCCCGTCCCCTACCCACCGCTTTGACTAGCTGCATGCTGATCACCGCCACCGGACTGCGATTGAGAGCTCGGTCCAAGCGCTCCATTCGCCGAGTGTACTTCTTACCGCACCACAGCGGAAGCGGGGAGGCGGAGGTGCTCGGGGAGGGTGGTGCCGGGGGTGTGGCGCCGGGGGGGGTGGCCTTGGTCGGGGAGGGCAGGGGTAGCTGGGAGTCGTCTTTGGCAGCGGCAGACGTGCGGGAGGTGGACTGTTGCAATGTAGCTGGTGACTGGTGGGGTGGAGTGGGTTGTAGAGCCGGAGGGGGGCGGGGGGGAGAGGGAAGTCAAAGCGGAGGCGAGAGAGGCTCGAGAGATGTTTGGGGGGGGAGGATGGACTCCCCCCCCTACGCTCCGGCCCGACTCTTGGGCGGAGTCGGGCCGGAGACACGTCCTCACTTGGCTGTGATGATACATACATACATACATACATGCATGCATGCACCCCCACTGCTGCTCACCGGCGCCGCCGAGCCTATCTCGGAGGAACCCCGGCCCCCAGAGATGGCTGCAGCCGCCGCAGCTGCCAGCTCCGAAACCAGGCTCAGACCCGCTCCCAAGGCGCTTACCCTAGCGGTGGGTGGTGAGGGGAGAGGGAGCCGGGGTTGCAGCCGGGGTTGCAGTACAGGGTGAGTGGTTGAGGTTGAGTCGTCGTGCCCATTGACAACAAATGGAGAGGAAAGAAAGGAGGCGGCAAGGCGAAGGCAAAAGAGCTGGCGACCGATCCCCCGATCCCGAAAATGTCTTGGTCGGGGGGTAATCGAGGAGAGGTGAACAGGGGCAACCTGACGACGATACACACCACGCGCACACACCGACAAACGGAGTCCACCCACTGCATCATCGAGAGCCCACACTGACCTCGAATTGCACTTCTCCTGTTGCTGCTGACCCTCCTCTCTGTCGCTGTTGCTGCCGCTGTTGCCTTCCTCACCCTCACCCTCAGCCTCAGCCTCAGGGGGAGTCAGGGGGCGCACAGGCACATCCCAAATGGGCACCTGGGTCTTGGCGAGTCGAGTGCGACCGGACAGCAGCTCCACCTTGACCTCACCGAACTGCGAGCAGGCGAGGCGAGGAGAACAGTGTAAGAGGTAGTGGAACAGGGCGTGGAAGAGGGGGGACGGAGAATAGAGAAAAACTTGGGGTGGGGAGGAAAGGAAAGGAAAGATGGGGTGGAAGGGCGGAGAAGGAAGAGGTACCCCGCTGAGGGTGCTTCCCTGCTGGGGAAATCGGCCTTGGCACGGCGAAACGAGGGAGTGAGAGAGAGAAAGGGGGGGGGGGGAAATGAACGCGCATGTATGCGTGAATGCGCGGGAGTTTATGAGAAGAGGATTACAAACCCCATAGTGTCCCCCTCCTCAACCTCCTCAGTCCCAGTTCCAGTTCCAGTCCCCGCCCGCATTCACTTCACTCCTTCCCAGCTCAGACTACCATGGGGATTCAGGGTCTCTGGTCCAGCAGGCTGCTGCACATACCGCCTTATTCTTCTCCCCCCCTTTCGACCCCTCCCCTCCGCCCTTCTTTCTATTCCCTTCCCTCCAATCCCCCTCCACTCACCCCCCCTCCCCACCCCCACCTGCGCCCGGTTCTTGCCCTTGAGCACGTCACCGTCCCGAAATGCCGCCCCCAGAGGCACCGCCAGCTCCACCCCCTCAGGGTCCAGCTCCCCTCCCACCAGCTGACCCGACAAGGGCTTGCGAACCGTGTACGAACACACGCTGCCGGGGCAGCAGGGTGTGGGGAGTGGGGAATAGGGAGTGGGTTTGGGGGTGGGAAGTGGGGAATAGGGAGTGGGTTTGGGGGTGGGGAGTGGGGAATAGGAAGTGGGTTTGGGGATGGGGGTTGGGGAATGAACGGGGCGGTGGGGAGGCTGCGGAAAGGTTAAGGGCGGGAGCGGCAACAGCAACCCGGGAAGACTAGGGAGGGGGGAAAGTGAATGACGGTGTAAGCCTGAGGAGAGCGTCCTCAAGAGGGGTACGGAACAAAAGACGTAAGGCGGGAGCAACTGGCCCCTCTTGGCTCACCTCCTGCTCCCCCTCCCCCTCAATAGCCATTCCACGTGCCTTTTCCCATCCCCAAGTCCACCAGCACACCCGCTACCCCTCTTCCTTCCCCGCCCCAACCCCCGGACATCGCAGGACAATCATGAACTATCAGCTATTTCCCCCCCCCCACTCTCCCCGTGTTACCTCCTGGGTTTTAATAGTTACCAAATAGCTTTACTCTCCTTTTCAGTTCAGTTAACAAACTTTCCGTTACCGTTGCGGCCGCGGTAGGATTCACTTGCCCTCACCCCCTCGCAGAGGCCGCCCTCCTGGCCTTCCCCCCTTTCTCCTATGCTGTCCCCACCCCAGCCGACCGCAGCCCTCAACGCTTCCACATGCACTTACGTGACTTCGATCACCAGCGAGCTCAGCATTCCCGCACCGAGGACCCCACCGTCTGCGGTTCGTTTTCCCCCCCGCTCCCCCAGCTCCTTCAGCGAGTGGAGCTTCAGGTGCAGGCAGTAGTCCTTCAGACTGTTGTGCACCGTGTCGGGGTCCTGAAGGGAGGAGATGAAGCCGCGCATCTGCACGACGACATACAGACGTACACACAGCGGAAGGGGGACGGCCGCAGCCACGAGGGAAGGGAGAGCGTGGAAGGAAGGGGGTGAGCGGGATGGCGACGGGGGCCAAACGTGTATTAGATCTGAGCTGGATTGGGCATAAGGTCCAGTGGCGGCGGCGGCGGCAATGGCGATGATGTGTGCTGGTGGCGAGACCGGAGGTGGGGCGCGGAAAGACAACGGGGGGGAGATGACAATTTCGCGTGCCCAAGCCCCCAGCGACTTTCATCTCCCCCTTTTGAAGGCAATACCTCCCCCGAGCGCAACACCCTTCGTAGCGTCAGCAGCGCCCTTCCGTTGAAAGCACCCAAACCCGTACACGCAACCCCGCGCACTCCCACGCACCTCCTTGTACTTCTGCTTTGCAACCACCGCCACCCCAAACTGCAGCTCCCCCTTCTTGCGGCTCTGGTTCTGACGGTCCAACAGAGGGAGCCTGAGGGTGGTGGTGGTAGGGTTTCAAAACATGCATTACATACATACATTACTTACATACATTAACATACATTACATACATACATACATACATTACATACATACATACATACATTACATACACACACAAGAATACTTAGGACTGAAGGTGGGGGGGTAAAGCCCGGGAGCTGCAGCAGCAGGAGGATGACAAGGGCCCGGTAAAAGAGCTTGCAGCAGCACAGCACTGCAGTTGGAGAAAAAAGGCACAAAACACGCGCACAGCTCCGGGCACCGGATATCCCCCGAGCTCCTCTCGACGCCCCCAGCAATCAATCCCCCCCAACCACCTGTACACCTTCTCCTGGTCCAGCATCAGGATGTTGTCCAGCACCTCCCTCACGGGCAGGGACACCTGGGGTTGCGAAGAAAGGGGCAGAGGAGGATGGGCTCATGCGGGTCGGTCACGTCGGTCACGTATGTATGTATGTATGTATGTATGTATGTATGTATGTATGTATGTATGTATGTATGTATGTATGTATGTATGTATGTATGTATGTATATATGCATGTACCTTTGGGGGATGTGGGTCGGACGTGTTACATGCAGACGGGGATCCTGGGAATCAAACTCCCCGTCCTTCACTTAGGTGTTGCTCAAGACAGTTTGTGATCAGCCTGTGTGTCCGCTCCCTCTCCCGCTCCCCCAAACGGCCTCATCCTCAGCCGCCTTTTCCGCGACCCCCACCCCTTACCCCACCCGGCCCGTTACCCCACCCCGCCCGTTACCCCACCCGACCCCTCCACCCACCGTGCCCAGAAAGGAGTTGAAATGGCCAATGTCCTTGTCCAGCACTCGGAGGATGAGGCTGTGGTCCTCCGTAACGTGATCCAGGGGGAACGGCAGGCTGAGGGAAGGATGTGAGGTACGGGGGGAGGGGAGTGGGGGAGCGCATGGAGGCGGCGAGGGGGCAACAGGCGGAAGTAGTGGCAGGTTGGGAGAGGCAGGGTGCGGAGCCCACGGCCACCTCTCAAGAGATCAACGGTGAGGGAGAGCGCGGAGGGGGCGCGGTGGGGGGGTGGATGGCGGGGAGAGCACACTGCACTGCGCACCACCGCTGCCGGACCACCCTCCTCCGCAGCCAATGCCGGGATTACTGACAGCACGACCATTTTTCACAAGATTGCCACGAAAGAGGCCCAAACCGTCCGATCGGGTGTCATGCCATGCTCCTTGGAGCGCAAGGGCAGAATGGTTACGCGTGGAAACCTAACGGTAAACCGTAATAACCATGTATAACGGTTTATAGTTGTGTAATAAGAATAGGCCGTAGGAATGGCCGCGTTATTACGCTGTTGAGGTCACTTTGCCCGTTTTCAAACGGTTTTACTTTACTGCGGGAATGCTGTCCACCAGTTCGTCCTTACTAATTTCCTCGCGCACCAAAACGCAACCAAAGTTCAGCAATACCATATTCCGTTGTATCTGCAAAGGAGGCCCCATGAAGGCCGTGGAAGCGATGGATCATAAACGTACATGTAACCTGGGTGTTTGGAGTCTCCTCCCGTTCACCCTCGCGTACCATTCCTCCCACATGGGATAGCAATTGCGGGGAATAACTCGGGTCTCTGCCTCCTCAAGCGGCAACGAGCCAGGGACCGCCAGGGCGACGCGGACGAAGCTATCGGTTGGAGGGCAATCGGAAGGCGGGAGGTAGACGGGACCATGGGCGGTGCCGATGAACGTAAAGATGCTTTCAAATTTTAATTTATACTTTCACTCATATTTCGCAGGACCAAATATACCTGTCGCAAGTTGCGGAGGGCATGGGAACAGCTGGGGACAGGTCAATGGCCTCCTTAACATAGACGCACAGAAAAAAGTCAGCATCAATCCATTTTGAGAAGCAGGGCGCCCGCTGCAAAGCTGAGCATCGTTGTAAAGTGAGAGCCGGGCTCCCGTTTGGCTGTAGGTTCAAAGGACCCGTGTCGCCGTTTTCAAACGAGTCTTGTTCCGCTGATGAGAACTCTATTGGTTGTTGTTCAAAGGTACATACATTATCTGTATTTTCTTCAAACAATGCCCGACATGGAATTTTCTGCGTTGGCATTCTGCAAAATCGCGGATGGAATGGGGATAAACCCTAAGTTGTATGCCACAGAGTTTCAAAACCCTTATCACTGAATATTCCGCGACCTCGCCTAAAACACGCCCTCATTCGGATAAGGCCCCCGAGAGCCGTGAAACGTTTTCGGGCAATCTTCGGCAGAACAGGCTTAATTGTCCATTTATTTGTGGCAACATGAAGGCCGTAGCTCTGCAGTCCAGGCTGACTGTGAAAGTTTGATATCGAGCACCATCCCATTGTCATGTCGTAGCTGCCTCTCTCGTAATTTTATTGCAAAGGTCGTCGAGCTGCCTTAAGTTTAAATATCATTTCAAAGCGTGACGATGTTACGTTTAGGACCGGTTTCCTGCCTAGGAGTACACTCAGCCCGTTCTGTAACGGAAAACCGACAGCTTATGGTATTTTATGGACATCAACGCTCACAATCTGCTAGTGTGAGGTTTTCATTTCGTTCAGGTATAGCGCGTCAAAGCCGCCATCGCTGTCGCTACTTGCATCCGAAGGTACAGTCGATGCCGAAGCTACTTCTGACCATCCACACGACGCCTGTAGTCATCGTTCACGGATTGAGTTTTCGCGTGCAAAGCCTTTTTTCCTCGTTCGTAAGCATTCGTTTTCCTCTTGCGTGAAAATGTTCTGTATACCTTTTCTCTTTTTTCTATCATCGGCGCCGTCAAAGCGGTTCATGAGCCTCCGGGTTCGTCGAGCTCCCTGAAGCTTGTAACATCCATCCATCCATGCAAAGCCTCGTCGCTTAGTTCGTTCGCCAAATCCTTACTTAAGGAAAGTCGCTGACCTGGCACGTGGCAATGTTGAAACCACGTAAGAACCACTTACAACATGCAACATGCCAGGAGGAAATATTTTGCCGGTAGCGTTGGATTGGCCGTCATTACCCAGGGCAAGCTCAGTCAGTTAGGCCGTCAATACTCGCCCTCCTCACATCTAAAACAAGAGACCGTGCAGCTAACTACAAATAAAGATAAAGTATTGTTGAACCTTGGTGTTCGATAGTGGCCCCCAGCTAATAATAGTCAACCACCCGTGCTCGCATCGCATAGGCAAATGCACGGCACTTTTGTATTCACGCGCCCTTCCATATATTTGTTTCAACTTACAATCCCCTCCCTCTTCCTCTCTCTCCCTCTCGCCCGTCTACCATGTGTAGATTGTACACAAATGCAGCGAAAGGGGAAATAAATGCAAAGCGCATATTGTGACTCATAAGTGCCGGTCTTCTCTCCCTCCCCCTTCCCGTTCGTCTTAACCTTGGTTAACGGTTTCTGAACCTCCCTCGCTTCCCCCCCGTGGCTGACTACTTCGCCTCCCACCAACTCTTTCAGCCTCCGTTTCTGCGATTTCTCCACCTCTTTCTCCCACCCACCCACCCCAACACACATTTTGCACCCACATCCACGACCCTGAAAAGCTACCGGTCGGCAGGCCATCCAGGAGACGTACTGCCAAAGAAAAGGCGCATGATCTTCAAAGTCATTCTCACATCATCAACCCCACCTCACACACCTCTCTCCTCTTCATCGCCTCTAAACAAGTATATCGTCTATCAACATTCCAACATCCTCCAACACATCGACGGGAAAAGAATGCACAGATTTGAAATCTCGGCCCTCGAACTCTCTAAAGTACGACCCAATGCAGTGGGAACACGTACGGACAATCGGTAGATGCACTTGGAAGCTGTCCCCCAAAAGCTTATTCCCCCAAAAAGCACACTGGACCATGTGTGTGTACACAGATACCGATCGAGGACACAGATACTAACCGAGAACCCTTCCCCTCGTTCATCAAAAGGACAAGTCTGGTGGGCACGCGGGGGTATCAGCTGCTCAACGTTACCGGCTTGCAAAGCTGACTTGTCCCCATCCACACTCCCACCTTAGGGATAGATCCATCTTTACTGGCGGCACCGCCGCATCCCCCGTTCCCTTAGTGCTTCTTCCCGCTCGACAGACGGTGGCACCAGTGCGCAGGGGAACCTCAAGCGCGTGCAATCGCACAGACACACACACGCACACATACATGCATACACACATACATGCGATCTCGTTATGTCCCACGGGTAAGGTTGTACGGGCCTGCTGTACAACACAGAAGCGCTAACATACACTGCAAGCGACCCGCAACAAATGCAGTTCCATGGTCATCCAAATGCAGCTCCCCTTAGAGCTGATCGCTCTAAGATTAACGCCACAACAACACAATTTTCCCGGAGAGTGAAGCTCTGATTTCATATAATGGAATGCCAAACGCCAAACAAGAAATACACGACACGATGTAGTTGTGGTTCTCAAAAGCCATCATCCTGCAAAACAGCAACCCCCCAACCACCACCCCAAACAGCAGCAATGGCATCGACAGCAACGAGTCTGGACGTGGCCCATCAGGAGCAACACAGCAGGTCAATCATCATTTCCTACATACATACATACATACAGAGTAGCTTCCGAATAGAGCAGTCTTGGGTCGTGTGGTATACCACACCACCTCTAAACGAAAACCCCGTATCAGTCCTTAGCGCCCCTAGTAAGCCCAAATAATCCGTTTAGGATTAGGCAAAAGATAAGACCCCCCAGCTGCCACAGCCACCACACGTCCGACGGCTATCACACTGAATCCTCCTCCTGGCCGCACTCCCCCATCGCTTATCATCAAAGTAAACGTCTGGAAGGTCAACCGCCAATCACAGCGTCTGACGTCATGCCTGACATTCCCTGACATCCCTCCCAACCTTTCAGAGACTCGTTTTTAACTTTAGGCGTTATAATAACACGTACGACGGCACAAGTCTCAACAACACGAGCACGCGTCAAGAGCAAGAAGCGACCCACGCGGGTCATGCACAGCTAGTAAAATGTACTCTCCTATGAAGTTTAGCAGCGCGGTGCAGAGCCGCCGCCGCCGCCGCCGCCGCCGCCGTCTCTACAGGTCCCCCACAGCCGCGCGGCGGCGCCGCCACCACAGTAATCGCCACAGGGCCTGTTAGCTAGGACAGGCGCACGCGTTTGCATGAATCCCTGACGCCCATCCATACCGCCGACTCGCCGCGCTCCATCATGTCACTCTTTCCCACCTCTACAGTCCCCCCCCCCTCCCCGCGCCTGGCGCCTGACGCGGCGGTGGCGACGGCCCTGTTGCCGCCGCCGGAGCTATATTCACCGCCACAGGCGCCAAGGGATCCAAGCTATTGCCTCGGACGTGCCCGTGGACGCGGCTGCATGGGCTGCCATCGCTCTCGCTACCAGGGCTTGTCCCCGCCGCCGCCGCTGTGGCGCCCTTGCCGCTGCCGGCTGCCGGAAGCAAGTCAACATTCGGCCAGCAAGCCGCTGGCCATGCGCCCGGTGAGGGACCCTTGACCCACTCCTTCAGCTGCTTGATGTAGAGGCTGCCGATAAGGCACTGGGAGGCATGGTAGATGATGAGGGGCAAGGAGATGATGCCGACGTTGGCGTTCTTACCGTAGAGGACGGTAATCAACGGCATGCCGAGCGCCAACGTCTTAGTGGAGCCGCACATAAGGACAGCGACCGCGTCGGATTTGTCGAAGTTGAAAATGCGCTTGATAGGCACAAAGGTGGCGAGGGCGAGGCACATGGTGGAGAAGAACAGGAAGAGGCCAATCTCGATGAAGAGCATCGGCACCCAGGACTTGGCGTCGAGGTGGATGTCGCGATGGAAAGTATCGCAGAAGGTGTTCCACACGAGCAGGATGATCATCAAGTTGCCGACCTTACCAAAGTTCACTTTCTCCTGCGCCTTCTTGACGTGGTTGGGGAAGACGTACTGCACTAGCTGACCGACGATGAGGGGTGCAATAATGGTAACGGCCAGCTGCTTGATGACGTCGGCGTAGGGTGCCTGCCCCGATTTCCCCAGATACAGATATAGCCAGCCAGGCGAGATGAAAATACCGATGATGTTGCCGATTACGGCATTTACCAGCGCAGCTGCTTCATTGCCCCCAGACTGCTTAGTAAACACAACGTTCGTGGATATCGTGGTTGGCATAGTCATCGCCACAACCAAACCGTTCACCAGGCTGGGGTTAATGCTAGATTCCGTTAGAGCGCGTGCGACACCATAGCCAATAGCTGGCGTTAATACAAGACACAAAAACTGTATAAACAGATGCACATGTAGACGCGCCATGACGTTCAGCAGCGCCCTAGTCTTAAGAGAGAGACCCGACAGGAAGAAAATAATGATGACGGCGCCATATTTAATTGACCATTGCGCTTCGATCCAGCCGCCCTTCCTGCCAAAGTCGGGAACAGCAGCTGCGAAGCCAATAGCAAAGCCGAGGCCCAGGATGAACCAGTGCTCGCATATGAGATCCCAAAAAGACTTCAATAATTTCTTTACACGTGAATTTTGAATTGGAGGGCTTTCGGCTACGGGCACAGCTTGGGCTTGAGGCCCAGACGCCTCGCCCATTGTGCAGCCTACGTAGGTAACGGCTATCACTGATAGAGCGGTGAATGCTAGCAGTAGCACTTATGAACATCGAAGACGACGTGACGCAAACACTCTGGATAAAGCGTATACGAGGTGCTTTGGACGCGCATATGTGCATGACCAATCTGTCGAAAGCGTACGGTACGGCAAGCATTACAAATTGGAGGCTGTCAGCACTTCAGCCTTACAGACCGACAGGCCTCTATGGAAACATATATAAGAAGGTGCATGATACAAGTTTGTTCCCTAACTACTTACCGATGACGCAATCAGCATATGGCAGGCCATGAGGCCCTGCAGCTGAAATCTTTGCTTCGTGCCATGCGAAGCTACACAACATCACTTGCATAGGTATTCGAAATTATCCTCTGCTGCTCTAACCTTGAATAGTACTTGTTGCACTGAGAGCCCGAACGCTCGTATACAACGGCCTCTAACGAGAACCAATTGGTCGGTTGCAACCGCACAATACTGTAAGCCCTTACCACGGCCACCGCGTATGGTGATTGTCACGAGCTCCTGCTAACCATCCACTATTGCTAAGTCCCAAGTGCACTTTTTTAAAAGTTTCAATGCAGGAGAGCTGCAGCACAGCGTTGCTAGCCGCCATCACCAACATCTTCACCATATTACATGGCAACCATTGGGCATCGTCGTCTTGCATTGAATTACTTGTGCACTACACCTCCCAGTCGAAGCCAGGCAGATTGGAAGGTTCACCGGGGGTTCTCCTGACACGGTCACATTTTCGATGCCTCCCCTCCAGCAACCCGGCGCACACTTGTCTTGCGCACTGAGCACACCGCCATACAGTGCAACCACACATTATTGGAAGTATCGGCCTCCCATCCCGTTCTTGCAACAAGTCATGCGTGCGATGGGCGCCTTAAATCGTGCACCTGCAACCTTGGCGGGCAGCGCGTTCAACGTGCCGGCGTGTAGGCCCCAGCCCTGCCCCCTCAGGAGGGCTGGGCTCCGAAAACTGTACGGAGCTTAAGACGTAGGGTTTGACTCAGGCGGCGAAGAACTGCCGACACTGCTGTCCAACCAGGCTATATGATGCGTGGGACAGGGGGTTCATATCTTCACCCTGCGGCCGCTACCCGGCGAAACCCTGCCTTCCCCGGTATTTCGGGGCACCCTCATCCAGTCACCCTAGTCAACTTCTCAGTGGATCGCTTAGGTTCCGCACCCATCACCAGCATCCAACGGAATCTGTCGGATCGACAGCGGCCCAACTCCATTCCTGGTCGGCTCGCAGGTTAACTTTATCCCAGGTCACCACCGTCCATCAACTAGGGGCACTTTACCTTCCACCATCGGAAGGATTATTCGATCCTTACAAGTCTCGATCCCGGGATCTCCCGGGAGTGCTTTAGGGTCCATAGACTAGGGGCACTATACCAGTAATAAAAATCGCTTTAGATCACCTTTTCGCTTGGGAGCTAATGGGACGTCTTCGGCGCATTGTGTATCTATCTATCTATCTAGCTAGCTCCCTTAACCCGTAGCTCCCTTAAGTCGCAACGAGTCGCGAGCAGCTCCGAGAGCTCGGAGTGTGAACTCCGCACTTCACATATCCTCGACAGCAGCTGTATAGCCCACACGTGTGTGTGTGTAGGTGTATAGGTGGGTAGAAGAGGACGAACGTGGCCGTAACCACCGCATATACAGCTTCCCCTCTTAATTAATCACGTGGTAACAGGCCGTACCTCCTACTTGTCCACTTTCCTTCCTACTACCTAAGCGCTTCCAGCTCTTCTCGCACTCAGTGGGGGCGCTTTAAGGCTACAAATCTGTGCTTTGGGGAAATTTGAGAAAATCGAGATAGGCATAGCACAGCCACCCACAGCTGGCCGCGCGGTGCAAATTAATTTCCCTCCAGGTTAGCCCCCCATACATACATACACACATACACCCACACTGGCCCGCCTACACCTCCCTCTATCCATACCCCACCATCCCCTTCCTCACGCCACCACCCCCCACCTACCAGGCCCACCAGTACCGAGCCGCCTGCTCACGCCCCCTACCTCACGCCCCCGCCTCCCACAACCGCTGTTAGACACGCCGGGCAACTTCTCGGACCGAAGCTGTACATTTGGGCCGTACATGCCGTACAATACATGTGCCGCAGACACGGCGCCATATCGCCAAGTGGGGGAGGTCGTCATCAGGGTCCGCGCCTCTCAGAAGAAAGAGTCACCGAGTCATCGAGGGGTTGTACTATATTGTGTGTGTATGTGTGTCTGAAGAGTGCAGGCGGGTGAGGGGTGGGAAAGAGGAACCACACGCGATTGAAGCTGCTGCCAGGGCAAGATAGTAGCAAACGGGGGTGGGGTGGGGGGAAAGAGCCGGAGCTGGTTGACGATCCTAAGCCCGCCTTCCCCCTCCTTACCGCCGCGGCCGCTTGCCGCCACGATCCCCACCCCGACCCCCACGCCTGCCTCTGCCCCCCCTCCCCCCGCCCTCTCTGCCACCGCCACCACCTCGCCCTCCTCTACCCGCGCCTCCGCCTCCACGGCCTCGGCGATCGGCAAAACCGCCGTTGCGGCCCCCCCGACCACCTCGCTTGCCGCCGTCAAAGCCTCCGCCATCGCTGCTGCTGCGGCGGCGGCCTCTGCCATCGCCGCCACGGCCGCGGCCGCGGCCACGACCCCCCCGGCCTCGTCTCCCGCCTCCACCCCTGCTTGCACCCACCATCTCCTCGGCCTCAGGTTCACGGCCCACCTCCTCCCTGCAGCCACACATCACCCACCCACCCGCCATCCGTTTAGGTTTAGAACGCACCATGTCAATCAAGACAAGGGTGAAAATGACTGCATGACTGTGCGACAACTAACAACAAGAACCGTTCGAGAACTGGCCGTGGCCGAGGTGAGGCCGCCCAGCGGGGTCCATTGACGTGGTGTGTGTATAGAGGGGGGTTACGGTGGGGCACTCATCGTCTTCGAGGTAATAACCATCATCTGAAAATACGGCTCTCAGATTGTGGTTTGGTGTGGTTTGGCGTGTCGCCGGAAGAGCATTACCACATACCACATGCACTTCAATGTGTGTATGTGTTGGGGGGGAGGGGGGAAGCGGGGGCATATACACGGGCGTGGAGGGGTCCCGAGGGGTTCCGGGAAGAGCTCAGGTGGGGGGGTGGGGGGTTTAGGGTTTTAGGGGGAGGCGGGGGCTCCGAGCTTCTCGGCGACCCTACCCTCCCTTCCCCACGCATCCCCAATCCCCCTCAGCCCCCCAGACCCCTCCAGCCCCCTCCCTCTCACCCACCGGAAATACGCCACGTCATCGTCCTCCTCCTCCGCCGTCCGCCGCCTCTTCCTGGACGCCGGCTGCTGCTTATCCTGCCTCTTCTTCTTCTTCCCAGCTCCACCGCCGTCCTCTCCATCCTGACCGCCCCCTTCCTCCTCCCCCTCCCCGTCCTCCCCGCCGCCGCTGTCGTCACCACCATCACCTCCCTCCTCCTCCTCCTCCGAAGCCCCCATGTCCACGGGTTCTCGCTCCCACCACATCTTCTTGCCCTCCGGCAGCTTGCCCTCCTTACGAAGCTGCTCTGCCTGGGCAGCTGCCTTGCGAGCAGCCTCCGAGGCCTTGCGCCGTACATTGGCCTCCTGTCAGAAGGTGTCAGAAGGCGGGAGGCGGGGAAAAGGTGATGGGTTGGGGTTGGGGTTGGAAAAAAAAATACGTTAAGATATAAAACAGGCAAGGAAAATAATCACTGACAGATACGAAGTTGTCGACAAGGTCAGGTGACGATTTTCCCCCTCCCCCTCTCCCTGCAGCAAGAGATCCTCGCACCCCGCATCCGCAATACACAAGCACCATCTCACCAACCTGCAAATCAACAGCAGTAGTCCACCTAATTCGATTCGAAATCCCCACTCGCCCTTTCCAATTTAAAATAAAAACCTTTTCCCCCTCCCCCTCCCCCTCCCGCCCCCCCCCCCCCGACCCCAGGCCCGTACCTGCTGCTTCCTGCGCTGCTCCTTGATGGCCCGGCGTTGCTCCTGCCGGTCCGCCAGCTCCGCCACCTCCTCCCGAGTCTTGTTCACGTGCGCGTGGAACAACACCGCTCCGTCGCACAACCCCTCCTCGATCTGCGGCACCACCACCACCGGCATCGCGACGTCGTGACACACAGTCGCGGAGCGGCGCAAAATCATAATTCTTTTAAATCATACATACATACATAAAAACATACATATATACGTAAAACACACACACATCCGCACACATGCATATTGCCGTATTTCCTACCCTCCCACCTTCCCCCCTCCCCCCATGGCTCCACCTTCCATGGATCCTAGCACATATAAAAAACACTTACGGAGCTGCCGTACCCACCCTCTCCCCCCTCCCCCCCCTTAACCCCCCTCGCCGCCCACCTTGACGAGCTCCAAGTCCATGCGGGGTCCCAGCTCATGCAGCCGCACCCGGCTCTGCCGGGAGGCCACGTTGCCGCGACCCATGTCCTGAGCAAGCGTCACCCTGCTGGCCTCCGCGTCCTCACCCTCGCTCTCCTTTGGAGGGGTGCGTGTGTGTGTGTGTATGTGTGTGTTTTGGTGAGTTGGGAGGGACGAAAGCATGGCGAATGGGCGGGATGTCCCAGATGTATGCGGCCCTCTGTTATTTAACACGTCGTAATGGTTTAATCATGTACTCACAGATAAAGTGTTATTTAAATTCTTTGCATGTTTATCTACTCGTATTCGTCTATAAGTCCATAAACGTACGTTACATGTTGCCCAAGCCCGCTGCCCTGCCCCGCTTACTCCAAACCACCCCAACGGACCTCCAAACAAACACCCCCACACACACATACATACTTACATACCCCTACGCTGTGTTCCGGCTTCAGCCCCCGGCTTTACCAGCCCACAGCGTAATCTAAGTCGTACATGCATACATACATGCATACATACATACACACACAACCTTACCGAGCCGTATCCGCTCTTGGTGACGAAGTCCGATACGTCTCGGAAGGACCCCAGGTCCGGTACCTCGCGCCGGGATAGCAGTGCCTGACGGTTAGCAGTTGAGCGGTTGATAAGGTCGTTTGTCAGTTGGCGTTCCGAGGGACCGGGTGTGGGGGAAGCTTAACGGTTCGTTTAGGTTCATGACCCTAACAATTCGAATCCATAAAACCACCATGGGAAGTGATGCACCCGCCGCGTGTGGATCTTCATAGGAATGTGTGCATGTGCATGTGTGTATATGTATGTGTGTCGTCATATCTCGAGTTGGCCCAGGAATGTGTGTATGTGCATGTAGATGTGAATGTGTATGTATGCCATCATATCTTGAGTTGCCCAGTACCTCTTCTGCCCCCGGACAGCACCACACTCCCCTCCCCTCCCCTCCCCTCCCTTCCCCCACCTTGACGCTCTTCTTCAAACCCGAGGGGGCCACCGAGATGCCGTAGTGACGCAGCCGGATAATGCCTGGCAGCCACCGACCCACGGGTCGCAGTGTCCGTGCCGATTGTACGACGGACGTTGGACAGAATGGGCGAGTGCGTGAATGAGTGATGTATACGGGTAGTGCAGGTGGATGAGGGCGGATGGGCTGCCCAACCGCGGCGGCGGCGCCTGGCAACCCCCCAGCGTTAGCCCTTGGGGTGGTGGTGGGGGGGGGGAGAAGTCCTCAAAGGAACAGTGCCGGTGCCGAGGACGGCAAAGGCAAAGGCCGCGACGATGTCGCTACCACCACCGTGCCGCCACTCGCTCGCAAACCCCTCCCCCTCCCCCCCCCTTTCCCCTCCCCCCCCGGCCTTTCGCTCACCTGAGTCTTTGTCTCTGGTTAGCAGCACCACTCGCTGACAGCTCTTCAGCTTGGTTCGCTGGACGTTAAGCGCGGGGAACATTCCCTGCGACAAAATTTACAACAAAAGAACGGCATAATGAGAGATAATATGAACGATAACAATCAAATATATAATTTTTAATTCTACATCAACGACGATTATTACAAAACAGCAGCTCACCCTGTTTAAGGAACCGCCGTAACTTCAATTCGCCATATGCCCGGTGATAACATCACTCAGGTAAGGATCTGACCCTCGAGAATGGGAACTTCCACCAGAAGGCCGCAACAAACAAAACACACGAAACACACAGCAGCAGTTGCGGTATTTCAGGCTCTTCCTCTCCCCGCGCCTACCTGGAACATGGAGGTCAGCAGCCGCAGCGTGTCATTGCCGCTGAAGCCGTTCATAACCACCAGCGGGGTGGTCTGGAGGGGGGGCCCGGGGGGAAAGGGGGAGGTAGGAAGGAACGCACGAAGACTGAATGGGATAAATATGGAAGTAAATAAATAAAAACATTTCACGAGGAATGTGTTAAAACAGAAACATAACTTGCAAAGCAGTAACAACAGATCTGTAATGTATGAAGCGGAAATTCGAGGAGGGGATTCCCTAGCGGTGTGTGTGCAGCGGCAAGTGGCACACATTCTCCACAATAACAACCCCTTCCCTTTTTTGACACCAATATAACTTCTCCCCCACACCCACCCACCCATACATACATAGCATGTGCGCGCCTGTGGCGTACCGTCCATACCGACACCGCCGAGGCGGCCGCTTCCGACTGGTACGACACCACTCCAAAAACCCCAACCCCGCGAGGTTCACCCGGCGGCCTCCGTGTCCCCCCCCCCGGGCTGATGAACATCACCTACCCCTCCCCCTTTCCCCCTGCCCCCCCCTTCCCTTACTCCCTTCGTTGAATGGTATCGGCATCCCCAATCCCTTCCGTACGACCCATTTCCGCATGTCGTGTTTTTCCCCTCCTCCTTCCCCTCCTCCCCCCGATACCTTGAAGGCATTGACCGGCACTCGCGGTCGAATGGCCGCCGCCTGCACGTCCCGGATCAGCGAGTAGCTGCGAATGCGCATCGTCACCGTGGGACCCTGTCAGGGCGGTGTGTGGGTGTATATGTATGTATGTATGTATGTATGTATGTATGTATGTATGTATGTATGTATGTATGTATGTATGTATGTATGTATGTATGTATGTGCGAATGCGTGTGTGGAGGGGACGGCAGGGGAGGGGACACGGGGGGAAGGGGGAGTACGACGAAACACACACGATTGACGAGAAGAAAAATCCACAGACGGATAAGAAGGGAGGGGGAGACAAAATAAACAGTACACAACGAAACCCAACTGACTGCTTCCAGCTGCCAAAACATATACAGTATCAACAACCCGGAGTGGGTGCGGTTGGGGTCGGGGGAAAAGGTTATTACTTGAAGGAGTGTGAAAGACAGGAAATCGACTAGGAACCTCCAGGCTGCTGTCACGGTAGCGGCCTCATGACCACATAAGCACAGCCACACACACACACACACACGCCGCCCGAAACGTCACGACTAACGTGCCGTACATGCTACTAACTAAACACCCCTCCTCCCAACCCCAGCCCGCACATCGCTCCCCGGGGCGTGCAACACCCTTTCCCCCCCCCTAACACCCCTCCTACCCTCCCTCCCTCCCACCTACCCTCCCTACCAGCCCACATCTCTCCAAACCCTTACCCCCCTTTTCACAGCCCCCCTAAACAACGCCCCTCCCCCAAACCCCTAGCCCCCTCCCCACCCCCCACCCCATTCCCCTCACTCTCGGCGTCTTGGCCAGTTTCACGTAGGAGCTGTTCTCCGTTGCCGACATCATGATGAAGTGGCTCACACCGAGGGGCCCCGCAACGGACACAAAGTCACGCAGTGAGTTACGACGGGAATCCTAACCACCGGCGTACGGGGGTTGGGGGGTGGGGGGAAGGGGGGAAATGACAGGTTTAAGAAAAAAGCGGGAAGGAGCCCTCGTGGAGTGAGGCCGTGGCGCGTATAAGAGGAAGAAGAGGTTGCGGAGAGGGGCATGGATACCTGAGGGTTTGGAAAGGATGCGCCTACCCGTACATGTTCGTGCATGTACGGATACAGGCTTCCTGTGTACCATCCTGTCAAATCTGGCCAGCACAGCCACGTCATCACCCGTACAGCCCTACCGCCGTACAGGACCAGCTAAGTCACTGCCAGCTGTTAGCCATCCTGATGCCCAAAGGCGCGGCCAGCAGGCTGCAGACATTGCTTTCTAGCGGGGGATTTGGGAATCAGGAGAGGAAAATGGAAAGACGGCCCCCTCACGGATTCCCGTCTTCTTACACAGCAGCGCCCGACGCCGGCTCCACCGCCACCGCCACGCCAGTGCCCAGTGCCATCTCCCAGACCTGAAAAACCCAACCCCCCCATACACACACACGCCCAGTGACATCTACCTTCTCTTCGGCGTCCGCACGCACTCTCGTCCCCACATACATACATACATGCATACACTCACCCGAAGGTTAGCGGCCGTATTCGGCAGCATCATGCGCCGTACATCCTGCTCCAGATCCGCTAAAATTGACTGGGGTTTTGCAGGGAGGGGGAGTGGGGGGTGAGCGGGTGGGTTTGGGTGGGGCCCTAAAATATCAGAAGCAAGAAAGGGAAGGATACAGTTAAGGGGCAAAAGGGCGTGAAACACTTGTACGGGAAAGTACATGTACGGCATGTGCACGGCGCGAGTGAGTAGGGTGAGTGGAGATTGTGTGTACGACTATGTGTGTATGTGTGTGTCTAAAAAAAGGGGGCGTGCGCGAAGGTGCGTGTAGGTAGGTCATGCCTTGCCATCCCGAATTGGAGGGCACCACACATGCACCTTGCACCGCCTTCAATCGTCACACCTCACCCGGATTTCATGGCCACAGTTTCAGTTCCTATTGGTGATGATGAAACCGCGCAGCTGTTGGGGTGGATAGGATGAATTCCGTCCGCCAGTAGAGGGGTGTTTGGCTAAATGTTTTCGAGTGAATGTTGTTACAGCAAACCTCTAAGGATCATCGCGTTTTGTTTTGGTCGGTTTTGTGCCGCTACCCTACTGCGGGGGTTCGGCCGTTTGGTCTGATTATGTCGGAAGGGTGATTTGTGTCGGGAGGGCCTTGGGACAGAGATGTGGTGGGACATACATACATACATACATACACAAACACTCCTTCAGTTCATTATCTCGTCCACATAGAGGTGAGGTAACAGCCCCGTGTTCAAAAAGCAGCGGGGGCCTCGTGGCCTCTCGGATGTGGCAGAAGGGGTCCCTGACGGGATCTTCGGAACACGCGATTCTTTTTAACGACGCTATTTTAAATCCATTACCCCTCTCCCCTTCCCCGGACCTACGTGGTCCTACACGGCCCCCTCCCTGGGCCGGAGGCTGTGGGCGGACCGCCTGATTCCCGTCACCCTTCCGCTAGGCCCCAGCCGGCCCCGCTACTTAGTCGGTTAGTCGTAAATTAACGGTGAGGAAGAGGAAGAGGGTTAAGACGCCAACAAAGCGACGTAACGACGTCTCCGACATGGTTTAGCTGCATGATTATCGTGATGGACAGTGATGACCACGGCACGCGGCTGAGCTTTGCCGACGCCGCGATGGCGGGGGGGCCGGCGCCGCCGCCGGGACGCACAGCTGCTTACCCCATGCTTCCCGCGCTTGAACACGAAAGTCTTCGGTTGTGGCTTCTTGCCTTCTTGATCGTCCGATGCAACGTGCGTTCGCTTCTTCCGCTGCACGCAGGTTGAGCATTGTCGACAGGCGTAAGAGTAACGCGCCAAGTACGCTACAAGATAAGATAAGGAAGGTGACTAACGACTGTCCACTGTGGCACTCACGCGTCGTGTTTTCGCCATTGCTCTTTAACGATTCTCAAATTAAACTGATTAGACCCAAGACACCCAACGCAGTAAGTAAGAATGTGACCCGTTGATTACAGAAAAAAAAGTAATAGGTGAATCAAGAATCCATCATCTTGGCAAAGGTCGACCGTCATTATGCGTCACGGCACAGTAAGTACCCGTATGTTTGGCGAACTGCCCAAAGGTGGCGTTAACCAGCTTCCAGGGTTATCATTTGACGACAACATTTGCAATTGCATAAAAGCTTAGGGATGAATTCCTAGCGAACCCAGCCACATAAGTCAAACCACCAACCATCCATCACAACGCCCTGACCTCCCAGGCAAAGCGACCGGCTTAAGCATGCAAGCTTCATACAACATGCACCCAATTAGAATTTCAGTCTTGCGTTCTCATTCAGGCTCTTCAACAAGGTTACTGGTCCGTCTCCGGCATCTGTCGCATGCTGCGTCCGCGTCCGCGCGCTTGACCAGCCTGGAGACCGCACCAACCAGTACCATCGGACCGGCTCCACCTCCCCCACGGTGTGCGCAGTCGCCTCTCTTAGCATGCCACCGCAGTCTTGGGCTCCATTCGTCCTCTTCGTCTGCTATTCCCTCGCTTTCCATTCCCTTCCCCCCCATCACCCTGACCTGGCGACCAACAAGTAACATATCGCATATCACATCACATTACATCAGGCGCACTGCGCCGAATCGGACATGATGTCAAAGCATAAATGTAAATATAGGGTTTGGCACCACTGGTAAGGCGCGACCATTGCCCCCGGGAGATCCCGGGATCAATACCCATTTGGGTCAAAGCCCTTCCGATGGTGGAAGGCATTGCGCCCCTAGTTGATGGACGGTGGTGACCTCGGATAAAGTTAACCTACGAGCCGGACATGAATGGAGTTGGGCCGCTGTCGACCCGCCAGATTCCGTTGGATGCTGGTGGTGGGTGCGGAACCTGAGCGATCCACTCAGAAGTTGACTAGGGTGACTGGATGAGGGTGCCCCGAAATACCGGGGAAGGCAGGGTTTCGCAGGGTAGCTGCCACGGGCGAAGATATGACCCCCCTGTCCCACACATCATAAATGTGCCTTGCTCGCCTTGATTTTTTGATGGCCCCCCCCATACAGGACGGTCAGTGACGCAGTGCGACAGGCCAGGATGTCACTGCGGCTGTACCGAGAATCCGCAGCCGCTGACTCTGCCGCCCGCCGCACCAGTAATCACAGGAGGGCCGAACATACCAATAACACTGGCGCCACCACCACCACCACCACCACCACCACTACTAGTGCCACTTGGGAAAATAACGAGGTGGTTGAGGAACAAGGGTCCATGCAAAGAAGAGGCGGTATGGCTTCCACCACCCCATCAGGTTCTGGATCCGAATTCGAGTCTAGATTTGAATCTGGATCTGGGTCGCTAGCAGATGCCGCAGCAGAGGGGCCCCGGCGTCTGATCATCGAGCTGCCTCTGCCCTCCCAACGAGTCGGCTTCCTGGGTAGAGGTGAGTGAGGCGTTGTTGAGGCCGGCCGGTGCTCGGCAGCCGTGGAGAAGGAACGGGAAGGAGGAAACTCCGCTTCCTCACACCCCCTCGCCAAAGATTTTTTTCTCACCTGCCTGCCCGCCTTTCCTTCTCTTTTTCTCGCCTTTTTACCTCCCCGTCTGCTTTTGTTCGGTTGGTTTAGCCGTTTTAATGTTGATGGTATCCTGTGAGGCTGCCGGCCTGGTTTTGACCTGGATGGATGGATGGATGGATGGATGGGTGTGATCTGTCTGGCCTTCGTCCCCCCGCCGTCCCCCTTTCCCGCCGCCGCCACGTGCCCTCGGAACGTGTTCGGCCCCCCCCTCCCCCCTCTCAGGCTCTTCCCTCCCCTCGGACCTGGTGATGCTCCTCGACGAGGGGGACTATCCAGGGGGGGTGCTGCAGAGGTTCAGAGTGCTCAGAAAGCTGGTGGACGAACTGCTGGAGGGGTGAGGGGGAGATGTGTGTGTTTTTGGGGGGGGGGGCGGCCCAGGGGGGGGTGAGCGGGAAGATAATGTGGCGGTAATGGATTGCATTGGGAGCGCATTGGGCGGCTATGGCAGCAATCTAACTACCCCATATGGTGTTGGCCGGGTTTCGCCCCTCGTGCTTTTTCTCTCTGTGTGTGTGTATCGTGCGTGGACTCCGCGGTTGCTGGTGCTGGTGCTGGTGCTGGTGCGTGTTTTTATGCGTTTCCTGGGAGGAAGAAACATCGCATGCTCGTGTGCCTGTGTGCGTGTGTATGTACGGCACAGGTACGATGCTGAGTTCCTGGGCTTGCTCGAGGACTCTGCGGATGGCGTGGGACTCTGGTCGTGCGGTCGAGATATGACCTTGGTGGCGAACATCACGAACGCCACGGTGCGACATCGGCGGCGCAAATGTATGATATGTATGACGATACGAGATGGGATAAGATGAGATCAAGGGCTCTCTTTGAGAGAAAAGGGAAACGCGATAGCCATTGACGTACATGCCGTACGGCACATGATGCACGATTTACAGGAGGATCCCCCGGTCCCCCGCGTCCCGCTCTTCTTGTTGCACATTTTGGACCGGACATGTATAAAAAAACGGACCTCTACTACCCTCTTCTCATGATGCTCTACTCCCCCGACCCAGGACCGAGTGGAGAGGTTCTCGGAGTCCCTGAGCCCCGGGGGGGGGTAGCGCCCCCCGCGTGTGTCGCTCCTTCGTCCCCAGAAAGATTCCTTACCACCCTCTTTGGACTTTGCTGCGCCGATGACGTGGCCCTCTCCCCTCCATCGCCCCGTCCCGCATATATGCACGTGTGCACAAGTGCGCGTGCGCACCTCACACCTGCATCCTGCACACTGCGCCCCAGAGGCGCTGCCCAGAAGCAAATTGCAGTCCGGTTGCCGGTCTCGTGTCGTGTTTTGCCACCGTGGTCTTTTGTCTTCCATGAGAATGTGTATTCCGTACTCCTGCTGTCTCTTTCCTTGCACATACACACACGTGTACATGTACACAGACATACACACGCGCATACACGCGCTTCTTTGCGCCCCGCCCTCCCTCCCTCCCCACTAGCAGGTCCCTTCCCTGATAAAGCTCTTGGACGGCTGGTACGGCAGCCGTACGACGTCCCCAGAGCACACCGTTATTGCAGTCAACCCCCAGTGGACGGATGCGAGCAGTGTCGGGCAGCCCTGGCAGACGTGAGTGTGAGCGGCTCTGGAGGGGGGAAGGTGTAAGGAGAGGGATGGAGTGGACTGGAATGTAATTGGTTGGCGCTTGTCTTGGCCTCATCTTAGCATGCCTGTCACCTGATGTAGACAGACAGACAGACAGACAGACAGGCAGGCAAGCAGACATGTGTACAGACATATATGTGGATACATATTACATATCGCGGAGCTATGGGAATAACGCCGTTTCACAGACGACTTGATGAGTCACATGGCCCACATCATACATGCGATAGGATATAGCATATGGGGTGCACGAGGTCGAGCGTCTGGCGAAGAATAGTGATTTTGGAGGGATTAGATTATGGGGGTTGTATTAGATTTGGCTGTCGGGGCATGGGGAGCCACGACTGAGCTGACGTAATACACAGATACACACGCACACACACACACACACACACACTCTCTCTCTCTCTCAAACTTAGCTATGATGTGGGAAGTGGAAATGGTGGTGGTACAGGCTCCGGATTGCGTTTGATTTGAAGAATCCCTGGTTCCTAAGACTGCCGCACTTCCCCGGGGACCTGCACTGCACTGCAGCCCATTGACCCCGTGAAATAGTTTTGTGAAGTTCATATGAGTGGTGAACTGCTTCTGTAATCAACAGCCTTTTGTTCGGTGGTGGTCCTCGCCCAAGTATTCTTTATCCTACAGATCACCAGGTTGCCCCCTACTTAACTGCCCATTTAACTACCGGCCCCAGCCACACTGAGCCGGTTGATCGTTCGTTTTTTGCGCATATCTCCCCCCGGTCAACTCAACCGACCGCCAGTTTGGTGCTTGGGACATGTCGACGGACATTGCCGTGACTTTGGAATTATTTCGGCAGCTACCTACCTACCTACCTAACCTACCTAATCTACCTAACCTACCTACCTACCCGCCTACCCGCCGCGGGATGGCGTGCAGGTCCTTGCGACAACGAGCTGCGGAGGTTCTCGACGAGGCGACATGGAGCACCTTGTACTGCGCCCGGGTGCTGAGAGGCAGTCGGGGGGCCAACGGACTGCTGCACAGGGCCTGGCCGCACCGCTGGACTCTGTACCCCACCGCGACACGTGAGTGCTACACTAAGGTATTTTTCTCAAGGGCGGGGAGGAGGGAAGGGGGGAAGGGGAGGAGGGAAGGGGGGAAGGGGAGGAGAGAAGGGGGGAAGGGGAGGAGGGAAGGGGGGAAGGGGAGGAGGGAAGGGGGGAAGGGGAGGAGGGAAGGGGGGAAGGGGAGGAGGGAAGGGGGGAAGGGGAGGAGGGAAGGGGGGAAGGGGAGGAGGGAAGGGGGGAAGGGGAGGAGGGAAGGGGGGAAGGGGAGGAGGGAAGGGGGGAAGGGGAGGAGGGAAGGGGGAAAGGGGAGGAGGGAAGGGGGGAAGGGGAAGAGGAGGGGGGAAGAAAGGCTTTTCGGGCGGGGAGGTCTCACAGAGCTGCCAGAGCTGCCTCGCAGGCCTCGCAGGCCTTGCAGGCCTTGCAGGCAGGAGGCAAATCTGGTTGAATATTTTTGCTGCTGCTACTGTTGCTGTTGCTGTAGGTTATGGTGAAGATATAGGTAGCCACAGCGAGATCTCGCCAGCTCATTTGGGTCGCATCTTTTTGCTCTTTAATCACCATCACCAATATCCTGACCGCGGTGGTAGAGAGGGGGTGGTCTGTGGTGGGGAAGAAACCGTTCCCATGAGAAGAGCCTCCTGCTGTTCCGTACTATTTATTCCCCTGACTGGTACGAATCGTGTAATCTTTCTACAACACAACCCCTCGTCACACTTAGGACGCATCCCCATGTACCCCCCGCTGCTTTCTTATACCCACACGCACACGCATAAACACACACACACACGCGCGTGCGCGCGCGCCCATACACACACACGCACACCCAAGTTACTCGACGCATGTACCATCCTAGCTATTATTTCCTTCTCACGGCTCAGAGATGACGAACGAACACGCATGACGCATTGTCGTGTCACCACGTGTTACGTATGTGTGTGCAGCCGACACGCGGTACGTGGGTGGCTGTCTACTGGCCTCCCCCACTCGACCCCCCGCGGACCTCATACTCTCCAAACTCAATGAAGCCAAACCTGACATGAAGGAAAAGGTGGGTCGTAGATTGGCCGGTACGGCTTGTGCAACATTTGTATGATTGTGGACCGGACTTTCCTTGTTAGGGCTTCTGGGCCCATATGGGCTGGAGACATGTGGGGTACGCGTCCTAATGCCGTACACCGCACAACCCCCTCCCCCGGCCACATGTCTTCCCCTTGCCTAGGCGAAGGAGCTTGGGTTGGACGAGCCTGGCTGGTTCTGAAAGTACGGCATGTACGGCGATCTCCGCCGAGATGTACAGCGCGTAGTTACCATTCGGGAGGTCTTCATTGAGAAGTGTGACGAGCAAGATGAACATGCGGAATGTGAAAAAATGCACGAGACGACGCTTTGCAGGAAGGCGGGGTTACTTTCGTTTTGACTTTTTTAATTATTGGTGGTCTATTGTAAGGATTTAATGATGATTGAAATCATTGACGGCACTCTGTACGCTTGAAATTTATGTGGAGAGATGGTCGTCGGTATGTTGAGCTGAGAGGCTTTCAGTGGGGGCGGGACTGGCCGCGGGTGAGTGAAGGTACCTGAGGGTAACTTGTCGTCACGTCAAACACAACGCAATGCATTACGCAATCGTTTTGCACTCCATACGACTTGTCCTAGTTAACGAAATTGTCGAATACCCCGCCTCAACACCTCCATCCGTTGACCGGAACATTCTCAGAAAACCAAACGGTTCAGCCATCGATGCCAATCGAACATGCGCACCTCGGGGCCCAGCAAAGTCCGACCGCAACAATACATTTCTCCCAACTCCAAATTTCGGTTTTCGCTTTGATCAGATGCGATAGTATGCCGTCTTAAGCGTGCACGGCCCCCGCGCGCCCGAAACGGCGCCTCTGCTTTACTCGCCGCTGACGCCTCCCCGCCCGCAGCCGCTGCCGGCCGTCAGCTCATGTACGTTGTGCCACAGTACACAGGGCCTGACAGCCGATAAAGCAGATCTCCGCCACGAAACCCTCCACCCCGCCCCACCCCGAGACGCTGTAGCATGCAAAAAAACACAAGGTGTAGCCCCCAGGTGCCGCGCTGCCCCCCAGGTCCCTAACATCGCAGCTCCCGCAGCGGGGTAGCGGTGTACATTTCACACCACCACATTCCCCCGGCGCAATGCCACCAACACGCGAATCCCATGAGCACCGCCTTCACCCCCACCAACCTCAACCCTCACCCCCCAACCCCAGGACAGCTCGATATATCCCACAGCTGCCGCATCACCCCCACGGTACCGCGGCGAATACACCCATTCCTTCCCTCCTTCCTGCAACACCCCAAAACACACACACATACATACACACGCACAGACGCGCTCCTTTTCCTTCCGTGGGTCAAAACAGTCAATGGCGCCTCCGCGCACACAATCTCCCACCCTCGCCTCCTGGTCTCCCTCCACAACCCCGACCAGCGCACTCCCGCTGCTTCACGTGCGCATTCCGCAGCTTCCTGGCCCCGCGGCTACAGCGACAAAAAGGTTACATAAATACTGCCGCGCCGCCTCCCTCCTAACCAGCCGATCAGTCCCATGCATTCGCCTTCCCCTGACGAGAGGACCTCCCTCCTCCTCCACCTGCACAGAGGGGCAGCACAGCCCCTCCACACCGCACACACCCCCTCGAGAGCTCCCAAGGAGGTGAGGTAGCTCCGATCCGCGCCCTGTCCACATCCACGTCGTGTTCCTGGACCGGGGCTGCTCTCTCATGAAAATTGGTTGGTTGGTTGGCTGTCTGGATGGCTGCCGGATGCCCCTTCCAACCTCCACCACACCCACCCGGCCCCCAACGTAGTGACCGTCCGTCTAATCTGACCCAATGTAGCTCCTCTTCCTCCTCCTCCTCCTCCTCCTCCTCCTCCGAGGAGGAGGAGTATGGCGGGAGTATGGCGGGAGGAGGAAGAGTCCTCCTGCTCGTCATCATCATCTTCGCCTTCTTCACCTCCTCCTCGTCCTCGTCCTCGCTCAGTGCAGGGCCCGGGCCAGGTCCTCCACTCGCCGGGTGAGCTCCTCCACCGAGTAGTCGGAACCCATCAGCGACGCCACCCGGGAGGCATCCTGCGTTGGGGGGAGTGGTAGGGGGGAAGGTGGGGTGGTAGGGGAGGTGTCGGACCAAGAGCCTCCATCCATGGCTTCAACACCAGGGGCAAGCTAGAAATCAGAGGGTGAAGCTGTGTTCAACACAAGAAACCAAGCAGCAAATCTTTCAGAAACACATCCCGTACCGTACGCCACCGTGCCAACGCAAACCCCCCATACACAGGGGTTAGGGTCCTCCGCTCGGGGGGCCCCCAGTCGTTGCGGACTTGCAGTGGTCAGGATATAAATAAAAATAAATAAATATAATATATTATGTATTTATACATAATATATATATATATATTAATGTTACATAACTTTCCCCCCCTCCCTCCCCCCTGAGCGCGAGAGCACACACACACCTCAGGTCCTAGGTCCAGGAACGTCTCAATGAGGTCGCCGTCAACGAAGCCCTTCGCGTCCGCCGTACGTCGTTCGTTGGAGAAGGCGATCCAGGCCTCATGACTCAGACCGCCCACACCTCGCACCACCTGCCGCAGTGCCGACTACGGGCGAGAGAAAACACAAGAAAACAGTAAAACATTGCTACCCGGGGGGAAAAACCAACAGAGAAAGCACCAATTGAGGATATACGGCATCTATAGCCACATCAGTCCAGTCCCCCGGCCCTTTTCGCCAAAGCCAAAGATTTCTTCCCCTCTCCCGCCACCCATCCACCCCCCCACCATACACACTCCTCCACACACCCCGGCAGCCTGGGGGGGGAGAGGGGGCCTGGGGTCCCCAACCCCCCCAGCGTGCGACTATGACTACGACTGTGACCAACACCCAGCCAACCATCCAACACATCGATTACCCACCCACACCGGGTAACAACACGCCCTTCCTGCAGCTCACCTGAAGCTTAGTCAGCATTTCGTACAACCCCGGCGGCAGTCGTGCAATGACGCCAAGTCGGCCATCCGTACCCCCAAACAACAGCGGTACGGGCAGGGAGACGAACTCGCTATCAGGCGGCCGCATCACCAGAGAGCCGTGCCGGAAGCGGTTGACAAAGGTGCCTGTATGGTACTCGCCAACCACCTGGCGGTTAGATTAGTGGGGTAGCCAGGGCCGTTGTTTCCGTTGGTCGGTTGGTTAGTTGGTAGGTCAATATGAAGAGGCTTAAACGGCTAGGGGAGGGGGAGGGCACGCAGCCCCTTTGGTTTACCTTTTTTT